TGCTCGTGGTTGTCGTCTGGGTGTCAATATCGGAGTAGATTATTGATTCTCCAGTTGACAGTTTGCAGAGTTCACTCCCATTCCATCTGCTTTCGCAAATCTTAAGCACTTCGATTGATACCTTCTCATCTCCTTTGCAATCTGGGCTGCCTTACTGGGTTCAAACATCGTACGGACATTCCATGTCCCCACGTTTACTTTCGCTTTCATCGAGAGAAGACACATCGGCCAATTGGCTTCCCGAAGGCTTTCACCAACTGGCGTCATTTCGCCTCTCCGATTCCAGCGGGGAATAAGTTTGTTTTCATTTTTTATATTTTGTTTGTGCTTTGAAGTTTCTTTAGCGGTTAGATTTGTTTTACGGTGTGGGGTTGCTAGCCCTATGCCCAACCTTCCCTCTTTCCCCGGGCTTAGGACCGGCTAGTAACTAGTAAACTAGTTAACCAGGCGAGGTTAAGAATATACATACTACTTTATAATATTCCATTTTGTGATTCATTAAAGTTTAATTAGTGTAGAGAATAGTAAAAACGAGAAAATCTTACACTGTTAGTCGGATTATTGAAATGGGATTTTTAGCTGTTACAAAGTTGATGTGTGATTTCTGTCCTAACACTTCCTTCCCCACAAAATATCTGTGCCAGGTAAGGTACAGTCAAATTCTTATACTTAGCTGTACGAGCATACATTCTTATGCAGTTTCTTCTTGTCCTCCGTGAGGAGATACATTGGCAGAGCTGTGAATGATGGATGATCAGTGTCAGTTAACATTTCTGTAGCTAGTTGTTTGCTGGAATTTAAACGTCTATCAACTACAGTGTTAATCAGTTGAACCAGACGCACATCACTCACCCTATTTCCTGATGGCCTTCAAAGACCCACACAACATAACATAGTCGTTTTCAGAAAAGCAGGAGAGATGAATAAGGGAACAATATAGAATAGGTAAGATGCGAGAATTGATAAATTGTAAAAGAAGAGGTTGAGTTACGCGAAACAGTCTCAGTTTCTTTATGTAATAAATTAAACGAAAGATTTTTTCCAAGTCAACAAGATGTGAGGCGACCAACAGAGGTCAGAAATAAGACTCAATCAAAGATAGTTAACACTCGATTTACTTTCTGCACAAATGCCATCAATGCAACAGGCGTCATGAGATTAAAGCAGCTCACACAAGTCCGTCTTGTTTATACCTGTGGCTGAATTTAGTCTGATACTGAGAAGGGTTTAATTTGAGACCATTTGAGAGAGATCATTGGTCAACTACAGATAAGAATCCATTTAAATCAGTTCAGTATAAGTGAGAGTGAACTGGAATAGACACTGTCAGGTGATCAGCATACTGAATAGAATTAGTTTCAGCAGAATGAGGCAAATCGTGCAAAAAGAAGGAAAAGAGAAAAGGAGAAAGTACAGCATCTTGAGGCCCACCAGCTTCAGTAAGCAATGAAGTCGAGCACTTCCTTTTATAGACAGCGAAGTGTGTCCTTTTAGAAAAATAAGAGTACAGACATTTTGTAACCCATGGCTCAGTATGAGCCTTGGTAAGGTTATTTAACAAGAGTGGTCTAGGAACAGAATCAAAGGTTGAAGAGTAATTCAAAAAGACACAACGAACATACTTAACGCCTTTTAGGAGACTGAAAGCAATATTATGATGCAAGACAGTGGCTGCATCTAAAGTACTTCTCCTACATTTATAAGCAAATTGTTTTGAATCTCTGAAGACCATCAATGAAGGCTCAATCACAAAGAAGTAATTTCTCCATTCTTTTCAGAAAGGGGTAAGTTATTGCAATGGGTCGAAACCACCATCTGATCCAAAAGATGACTTAGGCACAGGTACGATTTTGATCTTCTACCAAGCAGTGGTTATTATGTTTTTAGAAAACGATGCATTGAAGATATCTGTAAGGTTATGACATAAAATATCTGCACATTTTCTAAATATAATACTAGAAACACCATCAGGACCGAAGCTTTGGGAGAGATTCAAGGATTTTAGACATTTAAATACATCATATGTATTAAAACTTGTAAAGCAGCTGTCTATTTGACTTTGGACATTAGGAAGGGTGAAATCAGCTCTCAGCTTTCAGCTTGTAGCGCGCAGACATCCGAACAAGTTTCTTTCGTCATCTGTTTTCTACCAGTAAGCTCTTTAAATAATTTCCATATATTAGAAGAGTTCTTTCACGATAGGAACTTCTGGTCGCATGTAGTATTCAGACGTTATATTTCAGACTTAATTAGGCAGTTAAACCTTTGAATGCCGCGGTCATCTCTTGCCTTATACAACCTTTCCTTTCCTTTCCGGAGCCTCTTGAGATGAGGAGAAGAAAGTCTGTCGAATCTCATGTAGGTTTTTTCAGCAGAGCAGCAGATATCGAGACAGAATCTGAGATAGCATGCGATATTGGTGATAGTGTTGTCTAAAACTTCATCAGCAAATATATCCCAGTCTGTTTTCTAAGCATGCTTCTTAAACATAATATATTCTCTTGCAAATAGCATCTGTATTGAACTTTCCTGGAAAAATATTCAAAGCTTTCTTGTGTAAGTTGCCGTACATTTTAGGCAAAAGGAGAACAACACAGTGATCGGAATTCAGCAGCGGAGCCCTTTTACGGGCTTTATATATATCCCAGGTTCATTTGTAAATGCAAAATCTAGGGTTTTGTCAGGACGAATAGGAAAGTTGACCATATTTCTGTGACGCAACGATACCAGAAAGCTGCAGTCACATGAGTTACAATCTCTACAGACTATAGACAAAGAGTTACCCAGAACCGGAGCAGCGAATTCAATGAATTCATTAACAGAAGTTGACACATCTGAGGAACTGCAGTCAGGTGTGACGTAAATGTGTTTTATATATGTATTTGTATTTGCTCAAATGTTTGGGACGACATTTGATGGTAATGCACTCAATTGTTTCATTAGAGAAGCCGAAGCATACATAGTTGGAGGACGACCAGTTAGTACTAATAAATGTTGCTACACCACCACCACACAACATTTCTTCTTCGAAAAGCTTCGATCTTGTCGAAATAATTTGAAACCATCTAAGCAGACTAAGTCATCATCATACAGATTATGAAGCCATGTTTCCTGTAGCACTCGATAAACATTTGTGAACAAGAGTGACTGAAACTGATCAACTTTATTCGCAAACGATCCGCAGTTTATGCGAATTATTTCCGGACTAGTCATTTGATCTGGGGTCATAAGCTTCAGATCCCGTTGCCATCCACCGTGGTGCTTCTTCTTAATTTGCCTAGCAACTTGTTAAGTGATAAGTTGTAATAATTTTAAATACGCGCGAGAGTATACAATGCGATTGGTTGGCATAACTGAACGATTAAAACAATACAGAAATAAGAAATTTGATGCAATATATTGTGTGAAAAAAAGGTAGCTCAGAGTTCAAGCAGGCCGTCACAAGTGACTAGATAAACTGATATATGAGAGTAAAATAGAGTTCGTCAATCGACTTGAACAAACATAAAAAGTAAGTATATAATTTGAGCACTCCAGCTGAATATAACTGTATACTTTTAATGGCGTTGAGTTCTTTGAGCAGGATGTCTTAATCGTGAAGTTTTCATTGTCACTCTAGACATCATCATCATCAGCACGAAATTCAGAAAGAAGTATAGCTATACGGTTTTCTCCACAGGTTATTTAGGATCTCGTTCTGATAGTCTTGTGCTGTGATGGTTGTTTTTGTCACGATCGTGTTGCTGTCTACATATTTATTCCGATTAACTGTCTTGTGAGCTTGAACTTTGACCTCTCTGTTGTTATTTTCAATTGGTTAATAGAATAGGTCATTGTCAGTATGTCTTCTGGTTGGTGACTGACCTGAATATCAAACTTCCAAATGTTCTCAAGTACTCTTTGTATCTTCTCCACTCAGGATTTTCACGTTTCCCTAGTCAAATTCATGTCCATAATCGTCCGCATGCACTGATGTGAGTGAAGATATGTCATGACGTTTCCATGCTAGTTGATGTTCATACAGACGGATATGAATTCTATGCTAGATTAGTTCGACATAGCACACAGAGGTACAGTATTATTTACTGGTCAACATTTCAAGCACAATTTATTGCTCATGAACAACCCAAAATAATCAAAACTTCCTGTCTTAGGTTTTTTCACAGTTCCACTGCTTTTCATTTATTGATCTGATTGTTAACTGGATTTTCTATGTCTCCGGAACTGGTATTGTATTATTCCTACTACACATGCTGGGCAGTAGATCAATAAACAGAGATTCAGTGAAAAATCTCTTTCTTCCCTTAACAATATTATTCTTCAAGATTACCACTCTGTCGTACCCTATTGTGTAATCTTCAAAAGTCATATGCACAGCCATGGTTGAATTTTTCTCTAGATAACCTATCCTGATAGCGTCTATCAACTAGACTTAGTTGAGTTTCTATGTTCTGCTAGCGTGACTTACACCTGTGAGTCAGTTTAGCCGATGTACTTGACCTTACTGTCACTGGAGGGTATTTGGTAAATCAAACAATTTTGTTAAATTGAGTAAATAGAATCCAGAAAAAGCTAGTCCCTTATTGAATTCATAAGTGTGAATGCCAGTTGAGAATAATGCTTAGGAATACTTGGTCATTCTTGCCCTCTCACTGTGGCGCTGAGTGATGCAGGTTCAAATCTCTTCGCAGAGATCATCTGCTCTTAAGCTTCAGATGTAACTTGCTGATGAGTGTCAGCAAGTATAAGAACTTTGGTTCCTACAGGATGCTTCCAACCATCTAGTGCTAACAAACATGCCTTTGTACATCTGACTTCAAGGATTTCGGATTTGATACAACTAAGTTCAAGTGGTTTTTCATGCATCAATGGTTCTTACACAGTAAATCATATCGGAGATAAGTCATCAGTGTAGATCGAACATAAGTTAAAAAAACTATTCACTGTCAGTTCATAATTTCTAATTCATGTATTTATTCACTAACCAACTAATATTTCAGAGGTTCAAAATATGGCTGAAGACGAGCTTTGTAATCTTTTGTTCCGATTTCCGTCATCTAAGAGGAACTCTTTGGATTCTAGTAAGTTTTTTACTAAACCTTATATATATATATATATATATATATATATATATATATATTCCTTTCCACTTATTTGCCTGTGTCCACAGCTAAATCTCAGCATCAAAACAATTGTTGTGAAACAATAACAGAGTCTTTTAATCATCGTACAAACTTTGGCTCTGATTCTAGGTATTACTAGTTCAGTTCTGGATCATTTAAAACAATCCGCCTTCTTAAGATCAGACATTCTAAGTGCACGTTTGGGCTGAGCTCATTTTCAAACGAATAAAATGATCACCTGGTGTTTAGGTTACCTCTCTGTGGACAACAAGAAGGACAACTGATTGGTTTTACTGGCTTTCAATAATATGTTACATATAGCTCATTTGAAGTGTTATTAGTAATCATAAGCATGTATCTATTAATGAGCCAGTATTTATTAAAAAGGAGCTAAAACTGCATACATTAGATAAATGCATAAATCTGTTTCATTGAGACAAAAACTTCTTCAAGATTCTTTTCGGAAAATAGCGTTATTTACTGATAAAAGTATGAATCTATTTTTGAGATGAATGGGGATTTTTAATTTAGACGAAGGTCCCAGGTTCAACCCCTAGCCGGGTACTGGGTGTGTACTGCTGAGGAGTCCCATACTAGGACGAAACAGCTGTCCAGTGCTTCCAGGTTTTCAATGGTTCCCTAACTAATGTCAGCCCATGATGATTACAACTTCTAAAAAGTAGGAATCATCATATTGATTACAAAACCATAAATTTGAAAAGGAATAATATCTGGAAGCAGCAATAGCTGAAGTATGAATGATTTCAATTCTTATTTTAATGAGTGTGAATTGAAAACAGTGTCATTATCAAAACCGGATGACCAAAGTAAATGTATTAAATATTTCATCGAAATGAACAATAAATACCCTTACGAATTTCACTACTTAATCAAATTTCTTGAAAGTATCCCTGTAGAACACACAGACAAAATCGGCAACTACAGTAGCAATAACCCAACGACACACAAGATCAGTTGCCTGCAGACTCTATTCAAAAGAACGAGAACACACTGCATTGCACTGCACTGCACTGCAGTACAACAAATTCACGGAGAAACGAAGAAAATTACTTGATGTCCACTCTAAAGAAGAATCGCTACCCATAAAACTTTATCACAAGATGCTTATTCCGCACATCATCAACTACAAAGTCATCAACAGAAATCAATTAACGCATCATCCTACCTCACACAAATAATAAATCAGAAATCATGACAAGATTACTGAAACCACCTGGAATTGTATTGTAATGATAGGTGGTGGCTATCAACGGAATCCAGGCTGCGCATTTCGTCCTATTCGGGACTCACCACTCAACTGGACGTGCCTACCTCCCATTGGGTGGTGTTGTTCCCACTGAAACTCAGACTCAGGAGCGATCGCTTCAGGAGCCCATATGCCAACAGAGACACATCAATTCAGTCCAATACCGACGGTGTCATACAAGCAATAAAACCACTTGGAATTGGTGTGGTCCCTCATCAATCAACAATTTCCCTCCAAACACTACTATGCAGACCAAAGGATGCAACAACCAAAGAAGAAAAATCGAATATCATTTACAAAATCAACTGCAATAACTAACTGTAGTCAACACTACATTAAACAAAGTGGTCACCCACCTTCGCCCTCATCCAAATGAACACCAATTGCCGATTAAACGTCACACACAACATTTCATCACTCATTTCAATGCACGTGAATAATAACTATGGAGATGAATTGAATTTTGATAGTGTAGAAATGTTGGAAGGAGATAGGGAACACAGAGAATGTCATCAGAGTATTCCTAGAAGTTTGGGATTCACGTCAGTCAGTTAGTCAGTCAGTCAGGAATCAACAAATCTATAGACATAGACCTGATTTATCGACCAGTGAAAAGAATGATGAACGACAGAAAGATTAGATGTCAAGGAGAGAAACAGCTAACACGAAAACGCCTATAGTCAGTGAATGATGCCACAACCAAAGGAAACAACTAATCACAAACTAGTTGGTCAGGGTAAGCTACTAAATCAGTGACGGAGAGATATTGACAGCTTACTTCATATTGAAGTTACTGATGATGGTGTCGTCTATAAAGACGATGAAAGCTTCTCCACGGTTAAACGACCCAGCTTAAAAAGCACACAATACAATCAAGACCATCCACTTGAGCTACAAATATTCTCCAGAATCCTACTTTATTCAAAAAAATGCATAGTTTCCTGAAATAAAACCAGCTGATGGGTCGCCTTATTTAAGCCTTAGGTGTTGAGCACTTTTTTCGAATAACCTGTTCCATCTTTAAGTAAAATCTTCTAAACTGATTAAAGATGGGAAAAGTATTGAACAATAGAGGACACTGAACTCTTGTATTATTCTAGTTATGAATTGTTAGCATATCTCCTGTTTCATCTTTTTTCAGTGTCGGATGCTTGATGGGAACTTTTTTTGTTGAATAACTGTCTTCGTCGGAGTTCTGAATGTTAAGAATTATTAAAAAAATTAACATAGAACCGTTTATCATGATGTTCTTTAGGGTTCGACAGATCCATGTTGTACTTTAAGGAATTTCAATCATTAACAACCTCCAACAAACATTAAGCCATCATTTCGCATTGATAATTATCAATGTGTTATCTTGTACCCTTCCTCTGGATGTTTTAGGTGAATCCGCCAAGCCTTTTACTTCAGATCAAGCCAGAGAAGCACAGATCAGTAAGTTAAGAAGTAGACTGAGAAAATTAATGGATGAAACGCAATCTGAACTGAATGCTATTGAAAAGTATGCTGCTTTATCACCAAGACAAATAACTTGGCAATGTAAGTCACATTTTGGTTATTTTGTTACTCTATTATTGTGAGGTAACAAAAGTTGGGAATATGGAGCATTGGATTCTGACCCAGTGGCTCACTGGTAATGTGCTGGCCTCGGAACCTGGAGGTCGCGGGTTCAGTCGCTGATAGGGTCGTGGGTGCGCACTGCTGAGAAACCCCATACCAGGACGAAACAGCTGTCCAGCTCTCCTAGGTTGTCTTTGTTCCTCCAACTGATGTCAGTTCTAGCATCAATAATAACTTGAAATTACTCTACTATTGTTAGAAAAAAATATATACTACTTGGTGAAGTGAGTAGTTAGATAATAAAAGCATATATGAATTGACTGCAGAATAACATCCAATGTCATGTAATCTGTTATTAAATGATGACTATATTCTAGCAACGATTTTGCAATGTGGTTCATCGTAATAAACTTTTGATTGGTGTTAGACAGTGGAAAGCCTCTAAGCTTGAGGTATGAATCCTCTCGAGGTTGGAAATACATTTTGTTGACTAGTGCGGGGAAGCGCGAAAACTCGGTCGCGAATAGCATTCAAAAACCTAATATTGAATACAAAGGATGTCAACAGTTGAGAAATCTAAAGTAGGTTCAGTTTAGGGGTTTATGGATGACTATTGATTTTAGGTTGTAGCTCTTCATAGACTGAAATCATTTGGAGGAACATTGGAAACCTGGGAACACTGGACAGCTATTTCATGCTTACATGGAACTCATCAGAAACGCGCACCCACAGATCTGCCAGTAATCGGACCTGTGACCTTCAAGTTGCACGGCCAGCATGTTATCACTGATCCCTAGTGGGATCATGGATGCGAACTACTGAGGAGTCCCGTACGAGGTTGAAACTAGTATATTGCCCTCAGGTTTCCAAACTTACTCCAAATGATGTCAGTCCACAATGAATACCCACTTAAAACTAGATTATGGAATAACCAGTATACTGGGAAAATTCTGAATATATCACAAGTTCACTGATGGAGTGACTACATACATTGAAATTGGCTACCGTACTGTACTTCCATATGGTTCAGAGACTTGGTGCGTTACGAAAAGAATTTCCTTCCAACAAACTACAGATATTCATCAACAATTGCCTACACTGGCTTGATACTGAAGATCAGATAGCCAGAATACTAAGAATAAGCAACAAGGATCTGTGGCCTGGCAACGAACTAATGAAGCAATAACCTATCGCTCTACAAATATGCAGAAGGAAGTAGAGATGGATTGGGCATTCACTGAGAAAACCATTCGGGGACATCACTCGTCAGGCCAGTTGCTCGAATGGAACCCAGATGGGAAACGTTGAGTTAAGCTTTTGAGCTGAGGGTGACACGGAGGAGATGGTGTGAGGAAAAAATGAGAGATTGTGGGTAGTTGTGGAGCCAGGTTGAAAAGATTGCAGAGAAGAGAGTGAAATGGAGACGTGCTACCGAGGCCGTATATTCTTCTAGGAACCTGAGGGACAAATAATATACTATTATAATAATATAATGCAGCTGACGGATACTAATTGAAAAATCTCTGAAAATCAAACAATACTGAACAGTTGTTTCATCGTGTTCAACTCCAACCATCATTGCCCTGTAAGAGGGAGCTATGAATTCGTTAATCACAATTCACTTAGAGGAAATCTGAACCTACTTATTATTCGACACAACTGATAGATAGTGGCTAACAGTGGAATCAAGGACGCATTTTCCATCTTATTTCAGATTTACTCGTCAACTGAATGTATCTGACTTCCTTCCTACTAAGAAGCAGAGCCAAGATTGATTATTCCGAACGCTAGAGTGTTATTCGTTATGTCAGTGGGTCACGACAGCCACTCCTTATGAGAAGCGTATGGTATAGTCTTATTACTGTTAATGATTTACTGATTGGATAGGAACTTGTTTTAAGCAAGCTATGAAGTTAATAAATTCACCTTTGGATTAAGTCAATGGTATACGGGGAGTAAAAGCTCAAAGTAAAAATGTAACGAATGTCTAATAAAATCTGACTGTCAATGGTTCACCATCTGATATAATTTCAAAGGGTGATTATTGACAAAACAGGAAATTTTAAAGCATACATATGGTCTGGTTATGTATCAATATCAGTTATCATTCCGTTGAAACTAATAGCATCAATAACCAAGAGTTTCGTACTAACAGTTATAAATATGATACAATTGTTAGGTACTAGAAGTGGATTGGTAGGTACGCCTGCTTAACCAAGGTTTCATGCTTGTTGGTACTCATCAACAAGAAGTATCTGTCACCGTGACCAGACTGATGTCCCCCAAGACGATTAAAACCTGAGCAATAGATTATTGAAGAGATATATGAAATGAATTTTGTACCTCTCAAGTGTAAGATGATAATGATCTGCACTAAGTCCTATTTTAGCGATAGAAAACAAAGATGTTTAAGGAAGTAACAAACTTAGATAGCAAATTTCGTAATTTTCAGTGGATTAGTTTCTGATGAAATCTTTTGGCAGATACTCGAAACTTTATTCTGTCTCTGAGCATCGCCATGAGATGAGGATATTTAAAGCAAATCACAATTAGAAGTTACTGTTTGTATTGATTGGTTATGGGGGAGCAACCAATTCCATATTGTCTAGTCCTGAATGCATCTACTAATGTGCACCACGATGCTTAGCTTCCTAGCTTGGTTGCCATATTGCAAATATGATCGATAGAATTCGGTCAGCACTCAGAACTAGACAACATGAAATTGGTTGCACTCCCATGACCAATCAATAAATGTAAGCCAGTCCTACATGAGGTTAATCGCTCAGTGGTAAAGTCGCTGACTACAACAATGGGTGACGCGGGTTCGAATCTCAAGCGGGACATCAGTCCTGTCGAGGTTGCAGATACACCTTGCTGACTAGTGCTTAAATGCACAAAACCTAAGTCCAGGGCTTACTGCCGGTTGCCTCCAACCAACGAAGTTACCTTTCTTCTTCATCATATATCTTTTCTTAGCACTACCTGTTTGTGGTAGAAATACAAAGTGATCACCTTTGAGGTAAGTTGCAGAGTACCAAGAAAAAAGGGAGTCAGCTGATAAGGTTGAGAATATACACCAGCAGGGATACATTAGTATACGTTTCGCAAACTCATTCGTCACCTATGTCACTGTACAATATTTACTAAAGTAATAGGAGGCTGGGAGAAAGATAAGCTTAACTGAACCAATCAGTGAAGTCTCTGACTATCAGTGTGAGATACTTTGGGTAAATGAAGACTGTTTAGTTGAGTTTTTCAGACACTCGAAATCAATGTTTGGTAGCCTTCAATGACATAAATCATAAGTGATCACAAGGACGTAGTTCTTTTTACGACTGAACTAACTGAAAACATTGAGCATCATTCAATTTCAGCCAATCTCCTGTGTTTCGACTATTGTTACAAGATGTGGCAATCTAAATCTGTATTCTTCTGTCTATTCGTCTATGTTTTTTGGTCAAAATAATCTTAAAAGTCAATAAAAAAGAAACGCAGATTTTTAACCTCAAGTTTATAATCCTTCTGCATTTTAAGTATATTTATTGGATGACCAAACTGTCGTATGAATTATTTTACTAATAACCGCTAGTCGTTATGAATTGATAAGCTACACTACCTTGAAACTTTAATTTTACCTAACATTACTTAACTTGTGAAAACCTCTTCTGTAAATAGTCTAAAATATGTTGAGTGATTTCGTGAATGTAGAAGGTAAACCTGTAGAACTGGAAGTTGTGCGAAGACTGCACAAGAAGCTGATGTCAAACAAGTTTAATGATCTTCAGTTCAGTAATTTCAGTGGTCGTAAACCAGTCTGAAGTGAAAAAATACTAGCAGCTTCAAACTGTCAAATATGCAAGCTTAGTTACTCACGAATTGCAACATTGAGTCATAATTTCAAAGTAGGACATTATTAAATCCTACTATTAATATTATTATTTCTCCCTTGAGTTCCTAATGGAACATATGGCTTCAGTAGCACGTCACCATTGCACTCTCTTCACTGCAATCTTTCCAGCCTGGCTCCACCACTACCCATAACCTTTAATTTCTTCCTCACACTATCCCCTGTATGTCACACTCACAAGCCCAACTCGTCGTTTCTGATTTGGGTTCCACTCCAGGGCCTGCCCTGATGCATGATGTCCTCGAATGGTCTTCTCAGTGTATGTGCAATCCAATCCAGTCCATCTCCACTTCCATCTTCTACATATTTGTTGGGCGACAGCTTCTTGCTTCGTTTATTGGTTCGTTGCCTCACCAGAGTTCCTCCTCGATTATTCTTCCTCACCTTCTCATCTGATATTCAGTATCGAGTGAGTGTAGGCGGCAGTTGTTGATGGTGTATGTCTGCAGTTTGTTGGAAATGCTTTTCACAACGTGCCAAGTCTCTCAACCATCACATAGAAGCACTGACTCACTTGACTGACTTAGTGATGCAAATTGAAATCTTGTTCGCGCTTCATGCTGAGTTGAGTGAAGTAGATCTCCACACTGATTTATGGTTGACGAAGGCGTGTCTTGCTGTCTTTCCGATGCTGGCTGAGTTTGACATCCTCATTTGTGCCGCCGCCGCCTGTAGTTGAAACGATTCTGCTTAGGTATGCAGGTAGGTGAAGGAGACGACTCTCTTTACATTCCTCCTGTTGATGGTGCTTGTTATTGCTTTTGTTGGTGGTTGAATATCTTCATCACCTCTGTCTTCTGTATGTTTACCTGAAGGAAGTCCCATCTTCACTGTCTCGCCCCTTCTGCCAAAGTTTTTCTTTTCACCTGTACATCTTCAAGTTTCTCCGACAGTAGACATAAATCGTCATCGGCAAAATCCAAATCATCTAGTGTTTTTTCATCGATCAAATAGCATATGCCCATCTTATTTCTCATGATAGTTTGCTGCATGATGCATTTCAGTCCAGTCGACCACAATGAGGAAGACCATCGGTGTTAGTAGATGACCTTGTCTTATCTATCAGACTGTCTTCACTTCAAAGACATCATTGGGCTTCCCATTGTGAATCACTTGGCATGTAGTGTCGTCATATAGCATATAGCTAGCTGTTGAATGAGGTTTATAGACTTTTGTGGCACTAAAACCGCAGTGTTGAAGGAGATGGCGAATTACTCCTCGGTCGACGCTGTCGAACGCCTTCTGAAAATCGATGAAGTTGACATCATATCCCATAATTCAGTTGAATTTTACTTCACTTGGAACAAAGCCTATTGTTGTGATAGGTAGCTAAAATAGTTTGAAAGTTCAGAGCATAATTCAAATATATACCCTATAGTGCATCCCTATATCATTCATACACATTGGTTTGTGAGTGATTAGCAAGATTTTAAACTAGGTTTCTTATGTTTTTCTCCTTTCTTTTTAAAGATGAAAATATATACGTAAAGTTTAAGAAGAATTCTTGCAGAGAGATGAAAAGTTTCATCCAAATTCTCTACATAATGACCGAAAGTAAGTGTTTGTTCACCATCTTTTCTCTTATCAAATTTATCTGAGAACAATTGGATAAGATTATGATCATTTTGTATTTAGACTACTTATTAGTTTTCTAGTAGCTTGAGTAGACCTGAGAGTATTTTGACTACGTAGCTAGTTGCAGCCTAAATAGAATTGAATGTATTTTTGTTGGTGTAAAGTAGTTCATGTGTTCCCATTTTGAGTAACTAATCACTCACAGCATCATGAAACCATCTCAGTCTATCACTTAAGCATGGGGGTTTGAGAGTGGAGAAATTCAGTTCATTATTTAATCAGAAATAACTTTAAAAAGGAATTTTTCCAATGAATAAGTAGCAGATTTAGAGGAAAATCAAGTATATTGTAACCAGTAACTAGCAGAAAAAGAGATAAAATGAAGTCAGTCAAAAAAGTTTACCCTAATTTTTATTCTGAGAAATTAATAACTGCTTGTCGAAAAGTTTTGAAACATAAAGCAACTTTTCCACGTATAACGAGATGACATGCACCATTTTGACTCTCTGATTGAGTAAGCCGTGGTTTGGAAGACTAATATTGACACTGAGTAATGATTAAAGGGGAAACGAAAATCCAAGCTGCAGTAAAATTCAAACCAGAGACCATCGGATTTTCGTCCTGGTGCTCTACCAACTGCAGAGAGGATTTTTACTCCACTTCAATCCCCAAATTCTTTTACCTGACTGCCGTGTGATTCCATGATGCGTTACTATCGCTTCATCGTATGCACTTTGTCTGCTCAGTCCATTACTTCTCATCCCAATCCATATCCAACTGAATTGGAGGGGGATAGTCACTCCTAATGGAATCATATAGCAGTCGGGCAAAAATGTTGGTGAGTGAAGTGAAAAGAGAATCTAGTGTCCACTTGGGTCTTCTAGCTCAGTTGGTAGAGAACCAAGCTGGAAACTTGCTGGTTGCTGGTTCAACTCCCAACTCCATCAGACATGAACTCATGCATTAGTCATAAATCTGTATGAACAGTCATAAGTTATTACAATTTGAATTTAGCTTCAGTTAAGAACTGATCCTGAAATAGCCTTATTAGACATAGGAAAGATAGCAGAAGATAATTTACTCAAAAAATTTTCTTTTCCATGAATCATTTTCAGAAGCCATACGCTCATAATTATCGCTAAGGCAAACATAAGACGTAAAACACTCACTAGCGATGGACATTTAGAAAAATCTTAGATATTGGTTCATAATGAGTAGGAGGCTCTGTCCAACATGACTTGAATCGCGTACATGATTCAGTAAGCGCATAATAACTGATATAGCCTATCAGCCTTCAGATGCTCAGTATAGATGGAAGTCTGCAGTCTGGCCACTGGTACACTTACTGTATTTTAGTGTTATATTTAAACGTAGTCTGTAGGCAGCTTCCAACATGAACCTGTTGCCAGTTGTTTGGATGTAATTATCAGGGAACTCTGCTTCACCTGTATTTCCTGTATGTTAGTACTCCTGAGTAAAGCTCGACTTCGATCAGGAGGGAGCTGGTACCCCCCATATCAGCCAGTGAGGGAATCATTTAGATTCTTCATGCTGCATTAACTTCTGTTAATCGAATATGCTATGAATACTTTGTTTCTTACTTTTTGATGCCTTTTGTTGACCACTTGGTGGGAAAATCGCACTTCTGATCAAATTTCGACCACTGAGATGTAGACCTTTCATAGTATTTTCCTCAACTTCAATTCTACATGTGAATTTCTTGGCGAACCTTAAAAATTTTGAATATTTATCGGAAAATACTAATATCTTATGTATTAAAATGTCGTTTCCGATTGAAGATGGTTATCTACAGAACAGAATGACTTTATCTTATCCTTAAAGTGGTATTTTGATCACTTTGTTCAAATCTATCAACAGTAGCAATTGGACGAAACTAACCAAAAATTACTTATTCGATTAAATACCAAATTATTATTTGTCCCTTGAGTTCCTAGTGGAACACATGGTTTCAGTAGCACGTCTCCAGTGCACTCTCTTCTCTGTAATCTTTTGAACCTTGTTCCACGACAGCCCAGAAGCTCCCATTTCTTCCTCACACCATCTCCTCCATGTCACCCTCAGCTCAAAAGCCCAACTTATCGTTTCCTATCTGAGTTCCACTCGACGACTTGGCCTGGCGCTTGATGTCTCTGAATGGTCTTCTCAGTGTATGCCAAATCCATCTCAACTTCCTTCCAGCGATAGGTTCTTGATTCGTTTATTCGTTGTCAGGCCAGAGTTCCCTGTTACTTATTCCTTCTGGCCATCTGAGCTTCAGTATCGAGTCAGCGTAGGCAGTTGTTGGTTAATGCCTGTAGTATGTTCGTAACGTGCCAAGTCTCTGAATCATATAGCAGCACTGACTTGACATTAATGTTGAAAATCGGGGTCTTGTTTACGCATTATGCTGGATGCAGAAGATCTCCACACTGCTTTCAGATTAATGAACACCTGTCTTGCTGTGTTTCTGATCGTGGCTGGCTTTGACATCCTCGTCTGTACCTGTGCCGCCTGTAGTTTAAACGGTGCTGCCTAGATAGATCAAAGAGACTACTTCCTCTAAGTTTCTCCCATGGATGGTGATTGGAGCACGTTGTTGTTGTTGGTTGTGTGGTATCTTCATCACCTCTGTCTTCTCTACACTCACTTCAAATCCCATCTCCCTTCGCTGTCCTGCTCTGCCCTCCCTCTTCTGTCAACTTGTTGGATTTTGCCTGTAGATCTTCAAGTTTGTGTGACATTAGACACAAGTCATCTGCGACATCTAAATCTTCTAGGTTCTTTTCTGTGGTCCAGCGTATCCCCATATTCTTGCTCCTCACTGTTTGTTGCATGATCCAGTGGATGACAGTCAGGAAGATCATGGTTGATAGTAGGCAGCAGCCTTGTCCTACTCCTGTCTTCACTTCAAACGCATCACTGGGCTTTCCATTTTGAATTACTTTGCATGTAGAATCTTCATATCGTTGCTGAAGGTTTGTGGTATTGCATAGTGTTGGAGCAGTTGCCAAATTACTTGTCGGTCGACGCTGTCGAAGGCTTTTTCAAAGTGGATGATGTTGAGGTAGAGAGTTGACTGCCATTCTATGCTCTGTTGTATGGCGATGCTTAGCGTATCATCGCAATTTGATCCGCACATGATTTGTGCCTCCTGAATCCAGCCTGTTCCGGTCGTTGTTTGAATCCAGTGCATCCTTTAGTCTCTTCAGAATGATGCGGCTTAATATTTTTCTTACTTTGGGTGGACAGGATCATGATTCCGCGCTAGTTCTTGCAAACACTTAGGTTGCCCTTCTTCGGGAGTTTGACAAGGTAGCCCTTCTTCCAGTCTACCGGCAGGTACCTTTCCTTCCTTCCAGACCTTCTGCAATAGTGGTGTGAGCATGTCCACTCTTGTTTCTGCGTCTGTTCTCAGTGCTTCTGGCGGGATTCCATCTGGTCCTGCTACTTTCCGACATTTCAGTAGCCTTATGGCGTTCAGGACTTCGAATTTCGTCGGAGGGCTTGTGTTTACCTGTAGTCCTATGGCTGCAGGTGATATTTGTGGACGAGTTGTAGGCGGTGGTGGTGGTCGGTTCAGGAGTTTTTTAAAGATATCAGGCCATCGTTTCCTTTGTTTCTCTTCTTTGGTAATTAGATTTCCTTTATAATCTTTTATTGGTTTCATCTATGTTGATCTCTTCTCGGATGAAATGTTATCAGGTCTCTCCTACCAGCAACCCGTAGTATCCACTATACACTCCCTAAAATTCCACTTGAAACATAAGTTGGTTTTTTTTCCATTCATAAATTTCACAGTGTCTGCTTATTTTGCTTCATATTTCTTGCGCATCTAGCTTGGTTTTGCGGGACCTGAGTTTTGTCCTTACTGGTCTGCATCGAAAAGCTTATCCTTATCTATTGAATAAAACTAGGCCCCATCTACAGCTGGGATCACTGCACCTTTCGCTGCAAGACAATAACCATACATCCCTAATCTTTCGTGGCTCCACAAGGGATGGATCCTAGGACCTGTGTGTCTCACGGCTAGGTCATTGCCATTCAACTACTAGGTGTGCATAGCCCAGGAGTTTCAAACCAGAATGAAACAGTTGTCCAGTGCTTCAAAATTTTCAAAGGTTCTTCTACTGATGACAATTCATGATAAAAACTACCTTGAAACCAGTGAATCGTCTCATACTCATTCTGAATTGTATTCTGGTGTTCATTTAAGACCTACTTTCAGACAGCGTTTTTGCGTTCATTTAAGAAGGCATGACCTATGACATCACTCAAGACAAGAGTGAAGTGGATGCCAACCAGTGATACTGCAAATTGGTCATGCTACATCACGCATTGACAAAAATGGGTAAATGTGGCAGTTGAATCGTCAAACTCTACCACGAAACCTGGAAGTCATGTGCCGGACCTCTCATAGATTCGTGGATATGAACTACTGAAGGGTGTCAAAGTAGGCTCGATTAATTATCAATTATATGGATTATCAATAATAATATTATACTACCTAATCCAAAATGCTTATCCAACTCCATCACAGTACCATCACCTAAACAAATAACTTGATATCTATGTACTGTAGTTAATGTTAGACGGCTGAAAGCGAACACCAAAATGTCTAAACATCCATTTCGTACTTGTTGGTATTCCTTAATCCGGGATTATTTCTCCTTTAGCCATTTAAACTATTCGGCGGAAATATCGCTAACTGAAAGTGCGACAGTCAACTTGGTGAATTCAGAACGAGTATGAAACTTTATGTCTAGCCTTTTAACAGAGATTTCAGTAAATAAATGAGATAGAAAAAAGTTAAATTTCAATCTACTTAGTAGTTGGTTGGATGCTGAAGCAATTCCTCTGCCGAACAGAACACCTCGTCTTTTTCTTAAGGATTCCCTTCTAGGATCAGGCAAGTTTTTTTCATTAAATATTTTAAACATCAAAACAACAGCGTGAACAACAAGCACCAATCATCATTAAGGGGAGAAACCTAAGAAACAGTAGTCTCGTTCACCTACCCACCTACTTAGGCAGCATCCTTTCAGCTATAGGTGGCGGCGGCGGAAAAGATGACGATGTCAATACCAGGATCGGAAACACAACAAGGCAGGTTTTCAGTAATCTGAAATCAGCGTGAAGATCTTCTGCACTCAGCATAAAGAACAAGATCCGGATTTTCAACACCAGTCCAGTCAAGTCAGTGCTTCTATGTGATGGTTCAGAAACTTGACGTGTCACGAAAAGCACTTCCAACGAACTACAGACATTCATCAACAGCTTCCGCCTACACTCACTCGATACTGAAGATCTAATGAGAAGACGAGAAGGAATAAACAACAAAAAACTCTAGGGCTGAACCAACCAAGAACACATCGCTCAACAAATATTCACTGGAAGGAAGTGGAGATAGACTAAGCATGCACCGAGGAGACCATTCGGGGACATCATCCGCCAGGCCAGGCACTCGAGTGGAGCCCAGATGGGAAAAGGCGAGTTGTTCGTCCAAGCTGAGGATGACATAGTGGAGATCTTGCGAGGAAGAAATGAGAGCTTCTGGGCTGTCATGCAACGAGGTTCGAAAGATTGCAGAGAATAGAGTGCACTGGAGACGTGCTACTGAAACCATATGTTCCACTAGGAACCCAAGGAATAAATACTAATAATAACTTCACAAGTTTCATGACTAATTGTTTCTTAAATATTAATAAGAATGTTTCTGATTTTCTTGTTTGCTGCTTACTCCCTCCACTGTGTGTACGCGTGTCTCTGTTTCTGTCCTTGAAGAACAACATATGAGTCAAGGAATGAGCACAAAAAACATTACACCATATGTGATGGATATATTAGAAGATGAAATCAGCCAATTAGTTGGATACAGTGTGAAGGTAAGAATTGCTATTCATATTTTTTAGTGAGTTTTTATTGTTGAAAATAATGTAACCGATAACTGAATAACTTTTTTTCAAATTTCAATTTGTTTGTCATCAGTTTTCTTCTGTCATATAAATATTAATAGTAGAAATAACTTAAAAATGAATAGTGGCTAGCAGTGGAATCCAGAATGCAAATTTCATCCTATTTGGGACTCACCAGTCAGCTAGATGTGCCTGCCTCCCAATGAGTGATGTTGTTCCCAACGGGATTTGGAATCGGGAGCGACAGCTCCAAACGTCAGAGCGTTATCCACTACACCACCGAGCCACGAAAGCCACTTCTTGTGCGACGGGTATAGTTTTAGTGTTATTGTTTGTATTACACCGTCGTTGATTGGACCGAATTGGTCGGTCTCTATTGGTGTTTGAAGCTATTGGTCCCGAGTCCGAGTCCCGGTGGGAACAACATCACTTAGCGGGAGATAGGTACATCCAGCTGACTGGTGAGTCCCAAACAGAACGAAATGTGCATTCTGCATTCCACTGCTAGCCGCTATCCATCTTTACTATATCTAGAACACAAGTATATCGAAGCATCCGCACTGGATCCCATATGCCAATAGAGACCGATCAATTCGGTCCAATCAGCGACGGTATAACACAAGCAATAAGAGGAAAAATAACTGTTTTATATAACGTAATTTCTTAATGTTTACTTATAAAAATTAAATCACCCCCTTTTGGATTTTACTAGCTACCTGTCAGAGCGGTTCTGCATGAATGTGACGAATTTCTAAGTATTGACATTCAAGCTATCACCTTGAAGCAAACGAAGTGTTAGCCTATTCAGATAGTGTCGGTGTTACAAATGACCCGGAATAATGAATGTAAGCGCCAGGTTGAGGTTCATTCACTACAGAAAAATTTACGTTGTATGCTTTCAGTGACTTTGAAAGATAAAAACAGAATTTTAAATCAACCTAGTCACATGTACACACTTTCTGTGAACATTTTTTATCGATTATGAAATTGCAGTATTCACCACCAACTGAAATCAGTCGGAGAACCACTAAATATCTATGCGTAATGGACAACCATTTTTCCTTATTATGGGGCTAACCAGCAGTACGTATCCTAGCCCCCACTGGAAATCTAACTCAGAACAATCAGGTTTCACGGCAAACGCGGTTAACATCCACCAACTGAGTCTGAGTCCAATGGTTCACAGTTTCTTATTTATATTCACTCGCCATAAAGTGCTAAAATCCAACATCGACTTCAGTTAACAACCAATTCACTTCCAACAGGTTGATTTCACAGGTCTCAGCTTCCCATCAGAACTTCATGATATTCACCATTAGGTATGTCACCAGTGAGTCCTATACCGTTACGCTACATAGTATATGGTAAGCAGGTTTGAAATATGATCGATGTATTGAAGGGTGAAATTGTCAGTTTATAGGTCCAAATCATAAATATAAAAATCCTTTTCTCCAGCTGATGTGTGAGAAATATCATATATCCGTTAATCGAGAAGATGCTATTTTAATTCTCTTCCGGAAGAATAACACCCAGAGTATATCCTTAATGTGAGAGAAGAAGGAAACTATTGCCCACACATTTTGGACATTCTCATAACTCACTGGCCGGAGGGGTCAGTGAAATGATCTATCTACAAGAAACTCTCACTAGCAATACACTACCTATATTTTTGTATAATTCAGAATTAGCAGGCGCTGGTTAAGTGTCTACTCAAACGGATACGAAGAATATGCATAGACTGCACTTAGAGAAGGAAACACAAAATGTCATTAAAGTATTACTAGACAACGATTATTTACTAATCGTAATTGGAATGCCGAACTAAGAAGATCTACTGTCAAGTCAGTTCCAAAGAAAGATATCTACATTATTACTACCTTACATGGTCGATTTGCAGAGACTGACAACCGAACAACAATTCCATTTCAATTAGGAAGTTGCATTCATGGTGGACTGACATCAGTTGGGGGACCATTGAAGGCCTGGGAGCACTAAACAGCTGTTTCATCCAACTAGTATTCGATTCCTCAGCAGTATGCACCCACGACCCATCTACGGATCGGATTCAGGACCATCAGGTTTCACGGCGAACACTGAGTCGATTTCCAGTGGTTCACAATTTCCAACTTCTGTCAATTCATGACATAGCGTGACTATCTCCCATGATCTTCAGTTAGCATCCACTTCATTTCCGATTGGTTGACCTCACAAGTCACAACTTCTCATTAGAGCTTCATGATATCCATCTAAAAGCAAGTCACTAATGAGCGCTATACAGTAATGTATTTTTGAGATGAATGGGGATTTTTTATTTAGAAGTAGTATTCATCATGAACTGACATAAATTGACTTATTAGAAACATCATACGGTGGAATAGTATTATTTGTTAGGTCACTTTTCGGATACAATTTATTGTCCATTGTCATATCAAGATAACTTCCCAACTTTAAGACATAGCTTATATAGTTCTAACTCATTTAACATCAGTAGTCAACGAAATCCGATTCACCTATGAATTAGAAATGTTGGAGTACAGAATAAAAAGAAAACAAAATAAGACTTTAGAAAGTAGTGTCTGTAGCCAACCTTCACAGTGGAATCGTTGCTTAGACTTTAAATCAACTCACCGTATGTCATTTAGAGTTCCTTAAGTAAAATGTCTAAGTAATAGGTTCAAGAAACTCACTAGTAAACCAGAAGATTTATGACAATGAATCAGATATAATAAAGACATTTTACCCTCTTAATTTAATCAGTAAATTCTTTAGTAGTCATAAGGAAAATATGACTAATATTAGTAGCATAGATATCAGTAGCAGTGGTAACTAAAGGGACGATAATAATAATAATAGCACTTAAGAGACAGAATTCAGAACCTCTACAGTATTACCACTCAAATAAAGCACCTCAGAGATGTGGGATTCTGAATAAGACTGGGATTAGAATGGCACCGAAACCCGCAAACTCAGTCTGGTGGACTGATATCAGTTGGGGTATCACGAAGCTCTAATGAGAAGTTGTGACTTGTGAGGTCAACCAATCGGAAATGAAGTGGATGCTAACTGAAGATCATGGGAGATAGTCACGCTATGTCATGAATTGACAGAAGTTGGAAATTGTGAACCACTGGAAATCGACTCAGTGTTCGCCGTGAAACCTGATGGTCCTGAATCCGATCCGTAGATGGGTCGTGGGTGCATACTGCTGAGGAATCGAATACTAGTTGGACGAAATAGCTGTTTAGTGCTCCCAGGCTTTCAATGGTCCCCTATGATGAATATAACTTCAGAGTTAAAATCCCCATTCATCTTAAAAATATATTAAGATAATTTAGTTTACCGAATCCTTTACAAAGATAATGAAGTGAAATACACAAGTCAAAGTAGTCAATTAGGGTCCGTTAGGCTATCCTATCACAAACACTTGGTTAGATCGAAATTGGTAGATCCTTATAAGATGACGAACTATCAAAATGCTCGAGCATAGTTATGCACGTAATTATACATGACCATACAATATGATAGAAGAGGGTGAAAATCTCTATTGATAACTGAATCTTTGTTAATAGAGTCAATACCTAGTACATTCAGCAACAGGAATGACTCAACACCTGTTTCAGATATATGAAAAACCTGCTAACTGTATCAAAAAAGATGCGAGAGAATTAAAACTGTGTAAACCATATCTGAAAGTTGTGGAGTTATTGTGACATAAATATGGAAAATAAACTGTGTCCAACACGTGTTCCAGTAAATAATACTGTCTCATTGACTGACAAATCAGTTAAAATGGGAATGCATCCTATCACAGTGAGCAAGTTTAATCTTATCTTAACCAAACAACAGCTTAAGGCAGCCTTTTGAATGACTTACTAAGCAGTGAAAGTCAACATTACACTAACAGCTTTTGAACGATAGGGTCCAGTCCCCATACGTCAGCTTGCATGTACGAGTGATCACATGTGTGTAAGAAGAAACCATTGAAGTATATAAGTTAAGCACACAGAATACATTCCAACTTGACTGCATCAAAAAATCAGATTGAATGATCTCCCTGACCTCAGGTAATATGAGTTCAGATTCATCCTTACCTAAACACATCAATAAAACTGGTCGTAAGGTTGGTTTAAGTGAATCTTTTAAACCTGTTCGCTAAATCAGGTTTCTTTAAGCTCTAGTTGTAAAAAAGCTCAGATGTCTTTAATGTGTTCAAGGCTAATTTGTTGCCACACTAACTCCCCCCTGATAACTCACTTTACACTCGTCATTTGACCCATAAAGTAACATTTAGACTTTTTTTTATTATGTCGATAGTTTTTTCGAACCAGTTTATCCTTTGTTATATTTCATATGAATATACATGATAAGTAAGCATATCTGACCAGGTTGTTTGAAATATACTGCGCTAATACATCACACACACGTTCCACATAAACTATGCCTTCTTACTGTTTTGTCAAAATCTGTTCACCGGCGCCTAATCAGAAAAATGTTTTTTTAGTCAAGAGATTTGGCTTTTTTTAAACTAAAGGCCTTTATATTCATCAATACCTATACTTCACTGTTAATTGTTATGTTGGACAGAATTGATCCGTCTGATGGCTTCTATGCAAATGGCTTGATATTGTCTGAAAATTACTTATAATGCATTTCAATTTATGGCGGTTAGCAGTGGAATTCTAAAGGCATGTTTCTTCTTATTTTGAATCATTCAATGGATACAAAGATCACAGTAGTAATGAATTAATGGAAACAAAAGAGATTCGAGACAGTCCTGATGAACTTAAATGTGAAACTTTGACACTTCTTCAAGCCTTTATTGAGAATAGATATCTAAAAACGTCTTCAAATGATATCGTCAATCAAACGAATGAAGTAAGCCAGTACTTAGAACAAGATCTGAACAAAATATTTCCATCAAGATACTTGTGAAAAGTGAACAGTAAATAGGCATTAAAATGCGTGTAACTGATGTTTCATGAGTGAAGTGATGATGCATAACTTTTAGAATCTTTTGTTGAACTCCACAATCTGACTCATTAACTTATCTAGCCAACTCATTATGATCTACAGGTACCATATAAAGGCTCAATTGATTGAATACTGAGAGACTGAACGGCTGGTCAACTGAAGACGTAATTATATCCCAGTAATAGCAAGATTCTGATCAGTGATGCTTTTGAAGTGAAGATAGGAGTAGGACAAGGCTGCTGCCTACTATCAACCATGATCTTCCTGACTGTCATCCACTGGATCATGCAACAAACAGTGAGGAGCAAGAATATGGGGATACGCTGGACCACAGAAAAGAACCTAGAAGATTTAGATGTCGCAGATGACTTGTGTCTAATGTCACACAAACTTGAAGATCTACAGGCAAAATCCAACAAGTTGACAGAAGAGGGAGGGCAGAGCAGGACAGCGAAGGGAGACGGGACTTGAAGTGAGTGTAGAGAAGACAGAGGTGATGAAGATACCACACAACCAACAACAACAACGTGCTCCAATCACCATCCATGGGAGAAACTTAGAGGAAGTAGTCTCTTTGATCTATCTAGGCAGCACCGTTTAAACTACAGGCGGCACAGGTACAGACGAGGATGTCAAAGCCAGCCACGATCAGAAACACAGCAAGACAGGTGTTCATTAACCTGAAACCAGTGTGCAGGTCTAATGCACTCAGCATAAAGCGTGAACAACATCGCGATTTTCAACACCAATCCAGTCAAGTCAGTGCTTCTATGTGATAGTTGAGAGACTTGGCGCGTCACGAAAGGCACTTCCAACAAACTACAGACATTCATCAACAACTGCCTACACTGGCTTGATACTGAATCTCAGATGGCCAGAATAATAAGAATAATCAACATAGAACTGTGGCCAGGCAAGGAATCAACTAAGAACCTATGGCTCAAGAAATATGCAGAGGAAGGTAGTGGAGATGGATTTGGCATACACTGAGAAGACTATTCAGGGACATTAAGCGCCAGGCCAGTTGCTCGAGTGGAATTCATATGGGAAACGATAAGTTGAGCTTTTGAGCTGTGGGTGACATGGAGGAGATCGTGCGATGAAGAAATGAGAGCTTGTGAGCAGTCATGGCTACAGGTTCGAAGGATTGCAGTGAACAGAGTGAAATGGAGACGTGCTACTGAAGCCCTATGTTCCATTAGGAACCCAAGGGATAAATAAGTAATAAATAAATAATCGCAAGATTCAAGAGCATTGCTAGTATGCAAAAATGCGACATCAAAATACGAAGTGGTCATTCAAGGATCATGTAAATATTGATAGGTAGCCAATTAATTCTTATCAGTAGATGTAATGCTAAAGTTTCATCAGCTATGACAATGATAAATTCACAAATGTTTCTTTCTTTTCATGTTAAACTGTTGTATTAAGATTAGCTTATCATGAGAAGTTTGAATAAACAAATGAGCTCCACTCTTAGCCGAGTCTGACCGGGGACTTTGTTGATGAGATCAGCCTCATATAAAATCGGTCTGTAATACCTAGCAACACCTACAAGCCAGAGAGATAGTGGCCTCCTACTACTCATTCTATTTATGTCATGTTCGTTGTGCCTTCTCGGATTTCTCATCGGCCTTTGCATCTGTTCCTAGACCACTCTTGTTAAATAACCTTGCCATGGTTCATACTGAGCCATGGGTTATAAAATGTCTGTACTCTTATTTTTCTGAAAGGAAACAGTTCACTGTCTATAAAAAGGAGTGCTTGACTTCATTGCTTACTGAAGCTGGTGGGCCTCAAGATGCTGTACTTTCTCCTTTTCTCTTTTCCTTCTTTTTGCACGATTTGCCTCATTCTGCTGAAACTAATTCTATTCAGTATGCTGATCACCTGACAGTGTCTATTCCAGTTCACTCTCACTTATACTGAACTGATTTAAATGGATTCTTATCTGTAGTTGACCAATGATCTCTCTCAAATGGTCTCAAATTAAACCCTTCTCAGTATCAGACTAAATTCAGCCACAGGTATAAACAAGACGGACTTGTGTGAGCTGCTTTAATCTCATGACGCCTGTTGCATTGATGGCATTTGTGCAGAAAGTAAATCGAGTGTTAACTATCTTTGATTGAGTCTTATTTCTGACCTCTGTTGGTCGCCTCACATCTTGTTGACTTGGAAAAAATCTTTCGTTTAATTTATTACATAAAGAAACTGAGACTGTTTCGCGTAACTCAACCTCTTCTTTTACAATTTATCAATCCTTCCATCTTACCTATCTATATTGTTCCCTTATTCATCTCTCCTGCTTTTCTAAAAACCACTATGTTATGTTGTGTGGGTCTTTGAAGGCCATCAGGAAATAGGGTGAGTGATGTGCGTCTGGTTCAACTGATTGACACTGTGGTTGATAGTCGTTTAAATTCCAGCAAACAACTAGCTACAGAAATGTTAACTGACACTGATCATCCATCATTCACAGCTCTGCCAATGTATCTCCTCACGGAGGACAAGAAGAAACTGCATAAGAATGTATGCTCGTACAGCTAAGTATAAGAATTTGACTGTACCTTACCTGGCACAGATATTTTGTGAGGAAGGAAGTGTTAGGACAGAAATCACATATCAACTTTGTAACAGTTAAAATCCCATTTCAATAATCCGACTAACAGTGTAAGATTTTCTCGTTTTTACTATTCTCTACACTAATTAAACTTTAATGAATCACAAAATGGAATATTATAAAGTAGTATGTATATTCTTGTATTTTGTTGCTGTTCTAATTCATCATGCTGAGAGTTCCAAATTGTACCACAAATTGTATGGAATAAAGTGAATTATTATTATGTTTAACGTAGCAGTTCTATTCATTATAATTTGGTTGGTTGTGGCTAGCAGAAGAATCAAAGAGACGTGTTTCATCCTATTCGGGACTCGTCGGCTGGATGTACCTGCACCCCAGTCCATGATGTTTTTCATACTGAGACTTGCATCTCTTTGACATAGCTTCAAACGCCAAGTCGTTATCCACTAGGCCAAACAATTCGATGCAACAAAACAACGGAGAATGACAAGTATATCAATAATTAGTAATAACTATTACCCGTTGTTGAAGAAGTAGTTATCGTTCATTTGTAACATAATGAATAACGCCTTGAAGTTTGAATCGATGCGTACAAGGTTCGAGTCTCAGTGGCAACAACATCACTGACCAGGGCGGAGATACATCCAGTTGACCAGTGAGTCCCAAATAGGACGAAAAACGCATCCTTGATTCTTCTGCTAGCTACGACCAACCGAATTATCATGATTAGCATTCAGGCAATAGTGAGGCATTCGCATATGGGCCAATATGCCAACAGAGCCTGAACAATTCGATCCAATAAAACAACGGAGAATAACAAGTATGTCAATAAATAGTAGTAAGTTCTATTCATTGTTAATATTAAATAATAATCTGTGTATAATTTAAATATTTTAGGGTATTACAGATACAAATAGTTTGGCCGGTGAAGACGATAAAGAATCTGTTTCAATGGTTGAATCTGAAGCTGTTGAAGAACGACTAGCTGAAGTTCTCTTGAATAAAGTAATGAATTATTCACCCTGTAAATTATCTTACCTATATTTAAAAATTAAAAAGTATTGTTTTTGGTAGGTAAATAGTATTCTTTTAGGATGATTCAAGTTGTAAAGGAGATCATTTGATTCGTCAAATTTGAAGATATCTGGTTCACAATTAGCTGTCCTTATAAAACCTACTAAATCATGTTGTTGTCAATTTAAAGGATTCTTGTTGGGGTCTGATTTCGATAAATCAGACAAAGCGAAGCATATTTACTCTTCTCGTACATATGTACAGTGAAAAAGAGAGTAATAATCAATCAATAGCAGGTGACCTTGAAATTGTAATGTCTTATTCTTATTGGCTGGTACAACTAATTAATGTGACCACATGCTTCGGACCCTTTATATTTCCTGTGAGTTTAAGCGATAACCAACTTATTGTTTGCTCTGTTTTAAAGATAGGTTCTTCCACTACGACACGTGATATGATGGGTTGTAGAATGTTGCATAGGATTCAAAGCAGCAACAATGCTGTAGGTATCAGACTTAGGAAGAAAATCTTCTTTCTCTAGGCTTATTAAAAGATTTCTTTGATCATGAGAATGCAGAATTTGAATCCTTAAGACCATTTGACATCAATACCATCACTGAACACCTTAACAATGCCGAAGATGAAATCAGGTGACAAACCAATTACTACTAAATATATCCAAGGCAAGATAACACTTGGAAAATTATCTCATGGGTTTGAAGTTCGAATTCAGCTTAAAAGCAATGATGACTAACATTGGAAGAGAACGTGAGCTGATTTAGTTTTCGAATCAGCTGCCTAAAAATCGAGCTGTATGGGGTTAATAATGATGGATAGTGGCTAGTAGTGGAATCCAGGATGCGCAAATAGGACGAAATGCCCACTGTGGATTCCACTGTTAGCCACTATCCATCATTACTAACATTAGAGTACCGGTAATATCCAGGCATCCACACAAGCTCCCATATTACCAATAGAGACCGATCAATTCGGTCCAGTCAATGACGGTATGAAATAAAAACAATTATACTTATGGGGGTTAATTTATTTCATGGTAGTTTTTATTGCGCATTACGTCAGATTCAGAACATCTGAAAAACGGTGAGCACTAGATACGTGTTTCTTAGCAGCTCAGAACTCCTCAGCTGTGCAGGCTCATTACTCAGTGAGGGATAACAATCAAGACTGTTAAGTTTGACAGTCAACACATTTTCATTCAGCCGCTGAGTTGAAAGTCAGTGGTCCATCGCTTCCTTCTTTGACTGATTCACAATATCACTCAGTGTAGGCACCATTTTTTCTTTAGATTCGTTTGACCCGTCAGATTATTAGAACCTCCAGAAATTCATCTTAAAGTGGATCATTGATATATTACCGAATGCAATTCAGACAGAAAATACTGATTTGGGAAAAGTAATGGTTATAAGCTTCATTCCTCACTTGGTTGTCATTGCGCACTGCTGAGGAGTAGTGTACCAGTATGGAAAAGTTGTTAAGTATTGCTACATTATTTCAGTTGTCCTCTAGCTGGTATTAACCTATGATGAAACATATCCTGAAATTGTTTCACGTTTTTTTAGATCCGATCCGACCTGGATCCTGGAAAACAAGTAAGTGTAGTGTACTTTTATTTTTACTGATATTCCTGTTAAATAATCTTGTTCTTGTATCAATCAATGCAATATATCGTTTGCAGAGACCTCTTTGCATTTAGACATGATATCGGTATTGCGTAGAAGCAAAGGTTATAAACGTTTTCGCTAAGGTCAATGAATTATCAAATCTAGGAATGATTCTTTTGTTGAAAAAATAAAACCAACAACAAGGGGATGAAAAGACAAAAGGCAACAAACTTTTAGAATTATGTTTGAAAACACCCCCTATATTAATTAAACAATACTGTGACAAAAAATGTTAGTGCTTCACTAATAAACCAGTTAACTGAAACCGACCGTATAATTTACAAGTTATCGTCTCTTTGCGATGCATCCACTATACACTCAATGCTCCAAACATCAGAAACGATAACCACTTCCATTAACCTGAATTATGAGTTCTGAAGTAACAGGATATACCGTGTCAGTCGTTTTAGGTGGGAATTTCCAAACTGTACGCAAATACCATCTTATCCCTTACAATCTTAGAGTTTATCAGAGTGTTCCGTTTATCATTATTATTATTATTTTTCTCTTGGGTTCTTAGTGGAACACACGGTTTCAGTAGCACATTTCCATTCCAATCTCTCCTCTGCAATCTTTTGAACCTAGCGCCACAGCTGCCCACAAGCTTTCATTTCTTCCTCACATCATCTCATTGTCACCCTCAAATGAGACGCCCAAATCGTCATTTCCCTTTGATTTCCACTCGATGGCATGGCCTGGCCTGGTCAGTGATGTCTCCGAATGGTTTTCTCAGTGTATGCCCAATCCATCTCCACTTTCTTCTTCCGCACTTTTGTTGGGCGATGGGTTCTTGGTTGGTTCATTCTCAGAGTTCTTTGTTGCTGATTCTTTCTGGACATCTGATCTTCAGTATCGAGTGAGTGTAGGCGACAGCTGTTGATGAATGTCTGTAGATTGTTGGAAATGCCTTTCGTAACGCACCAAGTCTCTGAACCATATAGAGGCACTGACTTGACTGGACTGGTGTTGAAAATTCGGATCTTCTTCTTTGTGCTGAGTGCAGTATATCTGCAAACTGACTCCAGATTAATGAAAACCTGCCTTGATTTTCCGATCCTCGTTTTGAAATCCTCTTCTGTGCCTGTACCGCGTGTAGTTGAAACGACGTTGCCTAAGTAAGTGGGTAGATTAAAGAGACTACTTTTTTTAGGTCTCTCAAATTAATTGAAATCGGTGCCTGTTGTTGGTTGGGTGGTATCTTCATCACCTCTGTCTTCTCTACACTCACTTCAAGTCCCGTCTCCCTTCGCTGTCCTGCTCTGCCCTCCCTCTTCTGTCAACTTGTTGGATTTTGCCTGTAGATCTTCAAGTTTGTGTGACATTAGACACAAGTCATCTGCGACATCTAAATCTTCTAGGTTCTTTTCTGTGGTCCAGCGTATCCCCATATTCTTGCTCCTCACTGTTTGTTGCATGATCCAGTGGATGACAGTCAGGAAGATCATGGTTGATAGTAGGCAGCAGCCTTGTCCTACTCCTATCTTCACTTCAAAAGCATCACTGGGCTTGCCACTGTGAATTACTTGGCATGTGGCGTCTTCATATAGTTGCTGAATGAGATTTATAATGGTTTGTGGTATTGCATAGCGTTGGAGCAGTTGCCAAACTACTTGTTGGTCGACGCTGTCGAAGGCCTTTTCAAAGCCGATGAATTTAATGTAGAGAGTTGACTCACTTTTATTAATGTACATTAAATAATAATATAATAATGGTATATATACATAAAACATAATAATAATATTATTATATATATATATATATTATTATAATAATTTAATTTACATAATATTGAATCAAGTGACTGAGTGGATTTTCGGACTTCGATAAATAAATGTTGAAATTAGACACATGTGCTTGAATTGTATATGAATAACAACTTTTTTCCCTTCCCTCAAAATCCCTTATTCTTCACCGAAGCGCGAAGTATGAGAAGATAAAAGCCAGCCTATAACTAGGAAAGGAGTCTTATTAGGCGAAACCTTACCATTACATTCAGTTTGGTGACTAACAGCGGAGTCCAGGACGCACGTTTTGTCCTATTCGGGACTCATAAGGTGAATATACCTGCATTTCAGTAGCTGATGTTGTTCCCACTGAGACACTAACCTCATATCCATCTCTCTTTAAACTCCAACACGCTATCCACAATACCACTGGGGCACGATGGCCGCCTCTTGCGCAATGAGTATCAGCTATTGTTGTGATTTATGTAATTTCCCGTTGCTATACAGCACTTATTGCTAGATCTTCGCTGTTGGCAGATGGGTTTGTATGTGGGTGCCTCGATACTTCCAGGTATTCGCGATGTTATATCTACACTAGTGACTGGCAGAAGAGTTTAGGAAGCGATGTGTACAGGGTTGGAGTCTCAGTGGGAACAAAATCACCGGCTAAGATCCAGGTTCATCCAACTGATGAGTCCCGTACGGGACGAAACGCACATCTTGCCCTGCACTGAAAGTCACCAGCATGAATATAACATCATGAATATGCTACAGTATCAAAGCATTCGAAAAGGAACCCATCTGCCAGCAGTAGATTTCTAGCGATTTTGGCCCCATATAGCCACTGGAATTTATAGGTATCACAACAACAGAAACTTTACTATGCGTATTACGCTTTCATCTACATAAGAAGAGCAAATAACTCATTCTCATTGGTTCACTGAAATTCCAGCCTGCCTACTGAGGTTACAGTTAACACATAGTTGTATGGATAAAACCTGAAACCTTAAAACAGCCATCTCATCGGTCAGTGACCTAAAATACTGACTCATGTTATGATCACTTCCTAACACTAACTACTAGCGAAGTATAACTTATAACCTGTGGAGAAAGTTAACGAAGAGTATAAACATTGTTCACTAAATTGTCTTGTAAATTACTATAATGAGTATTTTCAATTTTATTGATTAGAAGGACGAATAAATTAAGCATGAATGAATGTACACTGACTTGTGGAATGAAATGAAGGCAACTCTGTTGTATAGTAAAATTGAGGGAGAAAATGAAAGAAATCTAAAGACATCAGATGTAAATACCATATGATTAGAGCGACATATAAACTGTAGGATGTCAAAGTCAGAATCGGAAAAGCAAGACAGGCGCTCATTATCCTGAAACCAGTGTGGAAATCTTCTGCACTCAGCATAAAGCGTGAACAACATCGCAATTTTCAACACTAATCCAGTCAAGTCAGTGCCTCTATATGGTTCAGAGACTTGACGCGTTACAAAAGGCATTTCCAACAAACTACAGACATTCATCAACAAATGCCTACACTGGCTTGATACTGAATCTCAGATGGCCAGAATAATAAGAATAAGCAACAAGGAACTGTGGACTGGCAGTGAACCAACCAATAATTTATCGCCCAACAAATATGCAGAAGAAGGAAGTGGAGATCGATTGGGCATACACTGAGAAGTTCGACTGGAAGCATGACGTGTCAGGCCAGTTGCTCGAGTGTAACCCAGATGGGAAGCGACGAGCTTGGCGTATGAAGTGAAGGTGACATGGAGGAGATGGTGAGAGGAAGAAATGAGAGCTTGTGGGGAGTCATGCATTCAGGTTCAAAAGATTTCAGGGAACAGAGTGCACTAAAGATGTGCTACTGAAGCCGTATATTCTACTAGGAATCCAAGGGACAAATAATAATAATGACAAACTGTAGGAAACGATTGTTATATCCTTTCAAATGCTAACAAAGAACTGAGACGATTTTTCCGATTACAATGGAAAGTAATGTTCTAATGAAGAGAAATCCAATGCATTAGTAAATGTAGCTTTCTAAGAAAATGGTTCTGATAACAGTAGAAAAAATAAACCTTACAATATGGCATGTTACAGTCTACACTAATTTTCTGCTCAGCAACCAATTCCAGATTGGATATTTGTTTGACTGCACGTAAGCATAGAACGGCATTTGGTTACCTCAAGAGAGGCATAGTTACCCTCACCAACGGTCTCAACATAGTTTCCATAAGCAAATAGTTTCCTCTCCTACATCTCAGCCCATACTGTTATTTCCTTTGATATTTCTGACCATTTTTGTTGATCCTTCATGTCTGATTTCTCATCCGTCTATCTTTATCGCTTTCGATTCTGTAATATATATTACTTGCATACAGTTTGACAAGTCGCTCTTTATACTGCTTCTCTACCTACTTTTTGAAACGTATTCACTAATGAAAATACCTAATGAATGAATAAGATCTTTTTGATGACTGTTTTCAACTAGATATCGCCTATAGCTATTACTGCTACTACTGCAGCTGCTCCTGTGGTCACTAATCTAAAGGATAGTTCAAATGTTAATGAAATTAAACCAGATAACTATTTGAAAACTTTTTCAAACAATACAAAGGAGGAAGTTAGTGCCATAGAAGGCTTCCCAATTCGAATAGAATATGATCTACCATATGAAGAGCAATGCGGTAAGTACCAGAATACACATAGTCTGTCAACTAAATATTTCATCTGACTAATATTCTTGTTTATAGTTTAGATTAACTGTTAAGTCAACAATGCGTAATGATGTTCCTGGAAGGGATAAAAAGTGGGTGAAACCGCTGTGAGATGAATGATGGTCACAACTATTTGAACGACAATCACAAGATTTAACAAGCAGTCTCATTAGACAGTACAAAATGGTCTTAATACTCCTATAATCTACTAACCCATCATCAACGTGCCCTTAGGAGACTCATTCCAAAACGCCTGGCGATTAATCAGAACAATATAATGCAATTCATTGATGTTGTACAAGCCTGATGTTGATAGCCACGAACTTATACAGAAAAAGCTCCTCATTAATGACATTATAGGTGCTGACAAGACCCAGCAAATCAAGACAACTGTCAGCAAATTTCAGCAAGTCCGTTGTAACGACGAAAAAAACATTTCAATCTCCATCCTGAGCGAAAGAAAGGAATACCGATCCACCTTGATCTATTACGTGCCCCTACAATTATTCATAACCAACTACACCTAAGGAAAATTCACATATCCATCAAATTACACTTAGCGATGAGACCCCAAAGCATATTGAAAACATCCCGATTATTCAGACGACTGCCATAGTCTGCGTAAACGAAATCGACAACACAAAGTGTTACAGCGCCACATATTATCAATACCCTTATGTTGCCCAATTCCACTTGATATCCAGCAATCTACTGACCTAACATCTTCTGTCATAATGCAGGCAAACCCGAGGGTGATTGCGAATTAACAACCACCAAGTTACTATTCAGAAGCCTTCAGAAAAGTTGGCGAGCACAAATGCCGAACAAAATCATTTCACGGATAATCTATAGAATAGATACTGAAAACAAGTGGAAATCACGTTCTTGTCAATACACCATCCAATAATCGGTGTCCACTATCCCTTCAACACACAAGCTTGATGCAAACTCTTCTCTCCCTTCACAAATATGAATCTGGTACATGTAGTGTCTACGTCTGCCTCTCATCCTCCTTCAAGACATCATTCTTAAATACCTATAATGGAAACGTGGCAAGGCAAAAGCGTTCCATGAACACTGTCACTCATCATGCAAACAAAGCAACCCTTACCCAGTTTCCCCTGTTCCATAGTACTTTCTGATTTTGTGCTTCCACTCATGTGGAATGATTCATTTTCCATTGTGATTCGATAACAAATGACATGAGTTATGCAGGAATGGGGTGGGTAATTTCACATTTAAAATTACTTGCTGTGGACCAAATCTATTTCGCACAGGCTTGTGTACAGGCTGTCCAACTTGATGAGTCTGTTTACAACACTAATAGCTTCCAGACAGAAGCAGAAAGCTTAGCTTTCAAACCCAAAATAACTCAGTGTTTGGAGGTGAAGCATCACATATTCGGATGGTTAAAACTATATGGATCTTTTCGAAATTTGTGAAATAAGTGACAGTGACGAAAAACAACGTGATCAATTTGTGTTTAGAGGACAGATTCGCTGAAGTCCAGCATCCTTCTACTGTGAGATATCTCAATATCTATTGGTATCTGCTCAATATTTTAAAATCCATTCAGACATCCTTTGGTAAAGACGTCTTTCCAACGACTTCCTAATACATATGTTAACCGTCAGATTTTTAGACATTACACTGTAAGCTGAGACAGGGGATGTTAACTGAAGCTTTCAAAGTATATTTCTCCATCGACTACGTGAGACAGTCAAAGCAAAGAGTTGGTTTCTTAAGATGCAACGATGAAATGAATAGGTTTGCTTCAGTGATTGCTTCAACTCAAATTCACCATCAGAAGTATACAATACACAGGTGAAGTTGATCAATGCCAATAACCACTAAGCCTAACTTCAAGACCTTCTCCCAACTGTCTCAAGCTAAGGAAAAGAAAAGTATGTGTAACTGATGCCTGACAAAACCAGTCGACTGGAAATTAGTCTTATAGGATAGCATTGATTTACTCAGTGTATAGTAACTGTACGAAGTCCACTAAAAAGACGTTTTAGTCAATACTAGAAGGTCAAAGTAGTTGTGTATTTAAATCTAGTGGCTAGAAATTATAGACAAGAAAGCTATTCTGTGGCTTGGAAACGAAATAGTTCACTTGGATTTCAGAATCGAAATTTCTACGCAAAATGTTGCTATTTAAATGTCAGTTAGCTCTAGTGTCAACCTTGCTGATTTAGTTATCCATTAATGCTTGTAGTGTTTTACTGATTATTTAACTGGACCGAACTAATCAGTCACTGTAGGGAAATGGGCTCCTGCCACGTTTGCCTCATTATTACCTCAAGTTTCATTTTGGTATTATTTACCAAGATTGACTGGTTAATTTAGTTTAGTACAATAACCAACCAGAAACTGCAAGTATCAGTGAAGTAAAAATGAAGCTGGTTGCATGAAAGGTGGATCTCGTGTTTCAGTGATGGAATGGATAACACTGTGACATTTGAATTGATAGACCCTGGATTCACGTTCTAGAGGGAACATCCTCAGTCGCTAGAAGGCAAGTATATCCAGCTGATGACTGGGTGTGAAATACGACAATATGTACGTCCTCAGTTCCCCCTGCTGGCCATCACCTGGCAAATAACAATTTACTGAAGTAGGTCTATCATCCTCCACTACACAAATATTGAACGTAGCGCGCTCAGCAATCTAGTGCACATTTGTGCATGAGGCAACGTGTCACACTTTTTGTGTGTGATGGGTATTGATAATCCCTGATTAACCAAACCTCGGGAGATTGTGCGGGGTTTGAACCCTCAACGTAGTGATTGACAGTCATATATCTAAACCACTGGTTCGCAGTTCCCCTAAACAAATAACATCCCAGGGTAATTTAAGATACTGTTAAAGAGTTCATTCAACCAGCTCATATATCAATGAAATAATGTTGATTCAACCTGACAAATGCAATCATTGGAAAGTGTAAAGTTTAAATATCAACTGATATCCATCTCACAATTTCATTCAATGGTCGAAAAGATTGTGCTGTTTGACTAGAGAAAGTAAACATTTCATTCAGGTGCCAATCGAAGCAAACACAGTGGCAGGTAGATAGATACAGCTGATGATCAGTCTCAACTAAAAACACTCCTTAGTAGAAAATGCTAAGAAAACAAGATTGAAATAACACTGTCCTAAATTATTCAATGCATATTCAATTTGTCAACTGAAGAAGTTATTCATAAATGTAGGGTTGAATTTTGATTTCATTTGAATAAACTAAGTTTTTTTGACAAGATTACATGATGAAGTCTTAGTTAGATATATGTTTGGAAGATGATCGTGACCATAAATGATCATGGTTCCAAGTAACAGTTTCGCTTTTGGATAGGAAAACCTAATTTGACAGTTAGTATGATGATGACGATGATGATAAATATCTGCGTGATTTTAAGCACAAACTTAGTACAACATAATACAGTAACACAGAAAAGATGGTAATGTGATGTAGAAAGAGGTAAAAGATACTAAAACAGACATAGAAGTTAGTTAGTAAAGAAACATTTTCAGAGATATCTTCATAAAAGAATTCACCAGCCTCATTTTAATTTTCAGTAACAGAAAAAAAGGCTGAAGCATGATCCCCACCGATTTCGATTCTAAGTAGCGTCTACTGCCACCCCAAACCATTGAGTTTCATATTCTTTATGGTCTTATCTAGAGGGTCATGATGCTCCTAGAGACACCAACTTGACAGGGTTGATGAATAGTGAGTGATGTAGGAGCCTTTTGGAAGACATACATAACGAATGTCCACATCACTGAAATCGATGTGTCGATATGACTACACGAAATGAGTGATGGTCTCCATCACGCCTAAGCACACTTCATCTGACCTCAGAATTAATTATGTACTGTTTTCATGAAATGTGAAAACAGTGATCGGAAACGAAGAGTCGTCTAAAATCCTCGGTTTAAAGAGGCTAGATTTACAAGCGCTAAGCAGAACCATTCATATAAAGGCATTTTTCACACAGTGGTGAGTGTCACGAGTGCACCAAGGTTGACCTAGACTGGCGTACACTACACAGGCTTTCAATTTGCGGCTGGATATCTCGTCAGTTACACCTGCCCCAGCGCTCACACAACTACTCAAGTACACAAACTTTTGGATAAGTCCCAATGGTTTATCGCTAAAGGTGAGTGCAGGTAGATACTCCTATCAATCTTATAGAAGCACTTTGCACTTCGATGAGGCTAAGCAAAACGTATTCTTATAAAGAATACTGATCGCCAACTGAGTGCGTACAATTGCAGAAGTTTTCATGCTATCATACAGGAGGACGATTTCGTCTGGATACTCAAGGTCTCACAGCTTGAAATGAGGCTTGATGAAAGAATGAAAATCATTGGAGGTATACAATTTTGCATGTTTTCTACCTTCCGACTGATAAGTGATTTCAAGATAGAATTCATCAAAATGTGGCATCAGTTACAGGTTCACTGAAAACCTAGAAGCCCATGGAAGCTGTTCCACCGTAGTATTAAATTCATCAGTAGTGCATACCCATTACCCTAACAGGAGTCGAACCAACAACCTGCAGGTTTGGCGGTGAGCGCATCTGCGTTTAGCAACTGCGTCAGCATCCCAGTGGTTCATATTTTCCCACTTTTGACAGTTCCTGATATAGGATCATCATCTTCCGTTGTCTTTATAGAGTATTTATAGACGCACTTAATGCAGCTAGCCCCACTGGTCATGGCTTCTCATCGGATTTTCAGGAAATTCATCTCGATGCGTGACAAGGTTGTCGGTGTACACTGCGAATAAGTATCATACTAAGACGAAACAGGCGTCCAGTGATCCTAAGATCTCAATACTGATTCAACCTTTTTAGTTCATGATGAATACTACCTTAAAATCTACCAATCTCCAAGAACCTTCGATTCGAATCATATATGATTCAGATAAATGAACTGTCTAACTGTCAACTTTCTTTTGTCTTCCAGAATTTCGTTGGTACAAACTAAACAATGAAAAACAACGTGTACCAGTAAAATTGGATTTTCGTATTGAACACGTCATTACAGGAGTAACCAGTAATCCATTAAGAAAACACACTTTTGTTTTGTCTAACTCTGGTTCCATAAGTAATGAAACGAAACAGAAATTATGTCAGCTAAAGAGAGAATTATTAGAATTGAGTGTGAATCGTGGTAATAATAATAATAATAACAGCATAATTCAATTGCAACATCATCTTATCATATGGGCAAGTAAACTTGATGATGCTGGACATTATTTTGCAACAGTTCAGTATCCATTGAATGTACATGGAACCTCAGCTATTACAGAAAAGGAATATATTCTTCAGATTTTAAGTAAGTTGACCCCTTTAAAATTAAAATTTCGTTGGTATAGATTTTATATTGCAGCAGCAGCAGGCAGCGAGAAGAGGGGGATACGCTGGACGGCGGAAAAGAACCTAGAAGTTCTGGATTTCGCCGATGACTTGTGCCTGATGTCACATAAACTTGAAGAAGATCTGCAGGCAAAAACTAACAAGTTGATAGAAGAGGCAGCGAAGACGGGACTTCAGGTGAATATAGGGAAGACAGAAGTGATGAAGATACCGCACCACCACCATCAACAACAACAACAAACTCCAATCACCGTCAACGGGAGAAACTTAAAGGAAGTAACCTCCTTCACTTATCTAGGAAGCACTGTTTCAACTACAGGCGGGACGGACGAGGACGTCAAGTCAGAATCGGAAAAGCAAGAGAGGCGTTCATTAGCCTGAAACCAGTGTGTAGATCTCCTGCACTCAGCACAAAGAACAAGATCTGGATTTTCAACACCAACTTCAGTCAAGTCAGTGCTTCTGTATGGTTCAGAGACTTGGCGCGTCACGAAAGGCATTTCCAATAAACTACAGACATTCATCAACAACTGCCTACACCGGCTGGCTACTGAAGATCAGATGAGAAGGCGAGAAAGAATAAGCAACAAAGAACTCTGGGAACGAACCAACCAAGAACCTATCACTCAACAAATATGCAGGAGGAAGTGGAGATGGATTGACCATGCACTGAGAAGGCCGACTGAGGACATCACGCGTCAGGCCAGACACTCGAGTGGAATCCCTATGGGAAGCGACGAGTTGGGTGTCCGAGGTGAGGGTGACATGGAGGAGGTCGTGCGAGGAGGAAATGAGAGGTTGTGGGCTGTCGTGGAACCAGGTTCAAAAGATCTCAGATAACAGAGGTCACTGGAGACGTGCTACTGAAGCCCTATGTTCCACTAGGAACTCAAGGGACTAATAAATAAAAATAATAATAATAATAATAATAGATTTTATATTACAAATATTTATTATAGTTATGCGAATCTCTCACCAGAAGGTAAATAGTCACAATCATTAATGTCAAAAGATTTAGAACAACTGGCAGGAAGCCATGCGCAACCTAGGTTCAGTGTTTATATATATATATATATATATATATATATATATATATATATACATATATATATATAAGAAATTGGTTTATATTTTGCATTCCAACAACTTTCAACAATTGTCTTCAATGTACCCAGTTGAAGGTGGTAAGCGAGTGTCTTTAAGGTTAACCGGATAACTACTGGATAAGTCATTTAATTTTCTGTCATTTGTAGTATACAGACATCTAATTGGTCATTTGAGTAGTTGTCAGGATGTTTTCTAAAATCACTCATCAAATCGCCCTGCGTCTAACTTCGAGTGACCTTGAGGCTACCTTAACAACTACTGAACTAACCAATCAGGTTTTAGGATTCCGGTTAGGAAAGCGATTACTCTGAAATAAAGAAGTTTAATTGCTTACTTCAGTCGTATTTAGGGTGGCCTTAAGATTCGCTCTAAAACTGTCCATCTGTGAATACAATTTTGTAAGATTACGATAAGGAGTGCTGTAGTCACATTGACTCAGTGTAAATTTATCATGCAGTGATTGGTCCCTAAAATGTTCAGTCAGCAGACCAGGGCTCAACTACACCTTGTTATATATGTTTCCTATGGGATATAACTTTCTTCTTTTAGGAACAAGTACCTAACAAACCAAAAGCTGAATTTAATTGTGTATCCAGTAACTTCTAGGTCATAGAAATTTTTGTCAACTATTTCAAATCAAAAATTCTAGTTAAGTGTCTCATCTAAAAAATGTATTTTTACATCTTTTTACTTTTTTAAAATCAATACAGGAGGTACCCGATCACCAAGTGAAGCTCAACAACAACCAGTATTTATTGAACCTCTTACTGTGCAATCAATTAGTTGTGATAATAATGATCAGTGTATTGAAATGACGTGTGTAGTGACAGGCAATCCTTCACCAAGATGTTTATTCTATCGGAATTCAGTTCCTATCCCTGTGGTTATAATGCCATTAACTAAAGTTGATTCTAAACAACCACTGTCAACAATTAATTCTTTTTCACAGAAATATGCAATCATATCATCTTTATGTAGTGTAGATAATACAAAATCATACGTTAGAAAAATCACTTTACGTATAAATCGACCGTCCAGTTCAGAAGATATAGCCACATACAGCTGTCGGGCTTGGAATTGTCATGGTCGAACTATTACAACTACTGATGTTTCATTAGTAGGTAATGAAAAACATTACCCTTCTTTAAAATTTTTATATATTTATTTTCTTTTGTAAATATTCTCATTTCGATTGAAAGATATTGAGAACAACTTGCTATGAAGTATATCTTTATTGGTTAAGTGTCATGAGTGAAACACGAATGACATTGATCACACTCTGTACTCTTAAAACTACTGATGGTGAATAAGTAATAATTTAGACTAGTATTCATGATGAACATACGTCGCTTTGATGAACATTAGGAGCCTGGGAGTACTGGACAGCTATTCCTTCCTAGTATGGAACTCCTCAGCAGTGTGTACTCATGATCCAGCCCTTACAGAGTTCGAACCCAAGACCTTTAGGTTCCGCGGCTTACACGTCACCACTGAACCAGTGAGTCGGGACCCAGTGGACCATACTTCTTATTTCTATCAGTTCACCATGTAGCGCGACCTCCATCCATTATTGTTGTTGAGTAACTGCCCTCTTGTTCTACTTGGTTAACCCTAACGACCACGTTTTCGGTAATCACCTCTTGAAGTTAGTCATCAATGAGTACCACATTAATCCAGTTTTTCGGTTTGTGGAAACTTGTTAATTCATCATTGGAGAAACACTGGAAGTGACAGAAGTAGTAAATATAGACCACTGGATTCCTATCTAGTGGCCCAATGGTGACATACTGGCCGCGGAACCTGAAGGCCTTGGGTCTAATCCCCGATGGGACGGGGTCATTGGATTACGGCTGCGCTATGTCACGAATTGACAGAAGTAGGGAAATGAAAGCCATTGGATTTTGACCCAGTGGGTGCATGGTAATGTGCTCGCTATAAGACCCAAAGTTCAAGGGCGCGCTTTGCTTAAGAATTCTATAGTAGAACGAAGCGGCAGTCCATTTCTCCCAGGTCCCCAGTAGTTCTCCAGCTAATATCGCTGTGAGGTGAGTACCACCTTGAAATCAATAAATCCGCATATAGTAAAATGATGTGTTTTATCCTCACAGCTACCAGACTTTCATGTTCAGTGTCTGATAGTTTCCGTAAAATGTCATGAACTAACAAAGTTGGAAATATGGACCGTTGGACTCCCAGCCAGTGGCTCAGTGGTGACTTGCTGACCACGGAACCCGAAGGTCGAGAGTGCGAACCCCGGCGGGGTTGTGTTGCGCACTGCTGAGTTCCGTACAAGGACGAAGCAGCTGACTGTCCAGTGCTTCCAGGTGTCCAATGTTCCTCTGACTGACATCACTCCATGAAGAATATCAAATGCAGGTTTTCCGGTGGTAACTGGTGAAGTGAAGGCTCTGTGTTTAACACTGGTCATAACCCATGACAGTTTAACAAGAACAATAATTTTTTTCAAGATGTTATTCATCGTAGACTGATATCAGTTAGAGGAACAAAGGAATCCTGGAAGAATTGGACACCTGTTTCGTCCTAGTATGGGACTCCTCGGCAGTGTGCAGCAACGACCCTGCAGGGGATTAGACCCGAGACCATCGGGTTCCGTGGCCAGCGCGTTGCCATTGGGCCACTGGGTCAGAATCCAATTATCCATATTTCAAACTTCTGTTAGCTTACGATATAGCGCAACCGCCACCCAATGCCATCTTTGAGTAACTGTCCTCACGATCATCAGGCTTTGCGCCCACCAGTCACGAATTCTCAATGGAACTTCAAGAATTCCTTTCAAAGCTAGTCACCAATGAACACCAGTTCAATTGAATGTTTGAGGAGTTGTGGGGATTTGGAAATATTTCAAGTTGTTATTTTGTTACATTCACTGTGATGATATTGCCCACTTACGCTTGCAGATTTTACTAGAATTCAGTTTCCTCCTTTTGAATAAAAACCACACTGATTTCAAGATACTTCATTATTTAGTGACAGAATATCACTGTCGGAAGCCATGCCTTTCAAGAACTTTTAGCATATTATGTGACTAGTTATCTACTTGTGTGTAAATTTCTGGTAAACCAAATAGGTGACGTTGAAAATTGAATATGTATTCGAAAATCGAATCATAAAGTGTTCAGATATTTATCATACTGCCGAACACAATGAAATCAAGGTTAGCAAACCAGGTTACTGTCTGAATCGAGACCCTGAAATAGGATCACACTAGAAGCCTAAATGTAGTCAGAATAAAAAGTAGTATACAGTCTTAGACTGCTGACTTGTGCCTCAGAGCGTACCTAGCTAGGATCCCGGAGTTGGTAAGAATTAGTGGTTTGAAACCTTAGGTAACATTATTTGCTTTGTTTCAAATGTTCACACTTCATTAATTCAAAGTACTTAACTCACTTTTACTGTATTTATTCTCTAGCATCATAGCCCGTTTTTATCCATTTTAGTAGCACTCCACTCCAGGACATTTCCTTGGTGTAAAGTGTTCAAGAGTGTCACACCTTAATTCTACATGAAACTGGCTGTCTGAGTGCCTTAAGTAAATAAAACAGGAATAAATATATATAGCATAGTAAACATAGACAAGAATTTGAAACAATTAGTCCCTTTTATGAATTTGGATAATGTAATTAGAAGACGTAGATTATCTGAAAAATGTGATGTATTAGCGCTACACATTTCGAACAATCTGATCCCATACACACATTTACTTGTTAAGGCATTATATATGAAAACTGGAAGTGGGGGAAGGACACATATGACATAAAGGAATTCAATAATAAGAAAGCTAATGAGAGGAATAAAAGATAAGACTTGAAGATAATCTTGGTAATACGATAAAATAAGCATTACCAAGGTAGGCTTAATGTAAGGACAAACTGTTTTTGCACACACAATGGGGGGGGGGTTAAATTTATTTATGGCTAGCGCCTCAACAAACTTAAGTATACGCCCCTGACAGTTTCTGTAGAAAATTGTAAAGGCTGTCTTGATATCAATTCTGTGACTCTTATCAATGATATGTTTCGCAATGGATGATGATGGTTGTCTGCCATCTGCACTTGTAATTCAATGTTTGTAAATCCAGCTGCTTTCATAGCCACTTTGTTCGAAATGTATAGCGCTAAGACATCAAATTTCTCAGATAATCTACGTCTTTTAATTACATTATCCAAACATAGACAAATCATGATTTTATTGACCAAATGTAATAATCATCTATTCTTGAAAACATAAACACGCATCGATTTACAGGCACCTTAACATACTAAGATTATTATAAGGATAGAACTCGAGCACTGTGGTAAGATGTAATTCCATATTATATTTGTTTATTTGATTTATTACATATAATGATCTAGTATTGTTTACTTGATGATGTTTTGAGCCTAAATTCTCACTCCTCATACTCATAACCAATGTAGTCACACAACTAACTGTATACACTTGGTTTTTATAGTTATGTCATTTCATATAAGTTGTTTTTATTGATAGTAAAATTTTCCATATCTCTAGAATAGGTATTGCGTCATCATTCCTATTCCATATGTGTTGCATGTTGATTCGATAGATAAAGATTCAGTAGTCAACCTTCTTCTAATTATGGTTGACTTCATGCAGTCAAATACTAACTAAATATTGACTAAAAATTTATTTATAGAACAAAGATATTGGTTGATGAAATCATATCACAGGCACAGTTCTGCCTGACCTACACAGTCTTCAAGTTTCAGGACAAAATATACAGACAAACGGAAGAAGTAGCGATGGGATCGCCAATATCACCAATCGTAGCAGATATATTTATGGACTTTACAAACGTTTAATCCTACACCAAAAATATGGTGGGGATATGTGGATGACACATTCACTGTGTTGAAATAGAAGCATGTCGACAGTTTCCTCAGTAGTAGCCACAATCCAATTCACTTATGAGGTAGAAAATGAACAAGGACAATTACCTATGTTAGATTGCAGGATAAAACGAAGGGCAGATGGTGGTATGAATACTACCGTCTACAAAAAATCAACACACTCTAACAGGTATTTAGACTTCGAGTCATCTCGTCCAATGTCAGTCAATGAAGGCAGGTTTAGTCAAATATCTGAGTGGTAGAGCTAGAAAACTGACTAGTCACTGCAAGAACCTAAATAAGGAATTAAAACACATAAAAGATGAGCTAGTAGTTAATAATTGTCCTCCATAGTCTATTAAAAGATTCATACAAACACACAAAGAACGAAATAATAACAGTAACACGAGTATGAATAATAACGACAACAAGAGCGGAAAGGAGTTCCAGCCTCCATTGTGACACCCAATAAGGAAGGCACATTAGAAACTGTACTTAGGATCCTCAACAAGCTGGAATTAGTTCTGTTGGCATTTAAACCTACAAACTCATTCAGAATTAAGCTTTATCGGTTGACTTAAAGATCCGGTAGAATCAACTGAGCGAAATAATCTAACCAATCAAAATCCATGTAATGACTGTGAGTCAGATCAAGTACATAGGTCGAACTAGTCGATCGGGGTCAGTTAGAATAGCGGAACATAGGAATTTAGCTAAATAGAGAATGACAGGCCCGAATAAGATGAATAATCTAGGAAAAAACTCGGCTACTGCAATGGATGCACTAACAAACAACCACACATGTGTGAGATACAACTACTGTACTTAAAGTAAAGATGGATAGTGGCTAGTAATGAAATCCAGGATATGCATTTCCTCCTATTTGGGACTCGTCAGCTAGATGTACAATTATACTACTGTAATTAAGTCCAATATAATTAAATGGAGATTGAGAGAGATTGATTATTGAATCTTTGTTCATCGAAATAGAAATGGCACAATACCTAAACCAGAGATATGAAAACTTCTACTACCAGTAACTGAATTTGTATATGCAGGAAATTACAGTTTTAGATGCAAAGTATCTCAACTGATATTTATGTGAAAATCGTAGATAGCGTAAGTTTTGTCAGCGAAATAGTTTACTGTTATTGCCAAAAGAAGAAAGACTTCAGTGAGTGAATTAGTTTTTTCCTGCGATATCATCCTCAGTAGCCATACCAATGTATTTAAGTAACAAATGGGTGTGTACATTTATAACTGCTAAAAAGACGTTGGTAATTGTCAGTCAGTAATTCTTTGTAGACTGTAAGATAATATAAGAAAGGATGTTACGTTACGAAAATAAATTAGTAAGCGTTCAGTTGAAATTAAGAACTGAAGAATTCGTAACGGAGTTTCTGGACAGTTGTCAGCTTGGAGTAGATCAAAAAGTAAGTAATAGATAGTAAGAATTATATCTCTCAATAGTGAAAATTTGAATTTGTTCGCTCAAGTCTTTCTTCTATCATGACTGAATGGGTAGGTATTCCTGTAGAAGTGCCAGGTATGAAGATAGCGCAGTAAATGTGATAATGACTGAAAATAAGAGTATAAATCATGAAATCCATTCATTAGACAACATGAATTCCTTCCTAAGAAACTAGAAACCCAAACAATCAAATGATTCTTCAACAGAAAAACTAAGAAAAAAGTCAAACCAGGCAGGATTTATCTGATTTATGGTACCATAATAAAAAAACAATAATGATTCATAAAATACAAAATATGCTATGTGGTGTCTCTATCGCCGTCGAAAGCACCTTAAAGGAAGTGCATCAACCAACTAAACAGTAAAGCTGTGTCCAAAGCGAAACCAAAGGAAAGCAAGAAGACACGTAGACTTCCACTATCTGTTAAAAAAAGCGCGATAAAAATATGTTCAGGGTAAACTAGAGCATCGAGGAATGGCTGAAGGAGGGCCAACACAATCACGAACTGGGAAGGTTACTAATATCCTAAGACGATAAATGAGGATAACACTACTAAGGAGTTTGAGTCACACTACTTATTATTAGTAAGTAGCAAGAAGTTTTAGGCATAAAAAGTGAAAGTGTAAACTCGGGATACTGGGAAATTAAAACACAGTAGGAGAGGAATTGATAAAAGAGATTTCGGAACAATTTTCCAGTGAATTTGATTGAAAAGTTGAATTTTTAACAGTCTGTTTACATATGGATGAGCCAACATGATTTCACTGGTCTACGTTACCACGTTTTTTCACTATCCATAAAGTTTGATAACACCAAAGTTTAGCCGAAACAGAATAAGTTTCATTTTGGCGAGTTGATCAAAAAATTTATCGACTTTTGAAAATTATCAAATCAATAAGGCTGTGACTTGGTCAGTACCTGACCTAGATTTATTTCGGACATGTTTTGTGGTCTTAGTAAAGTCAACTGAAACTAGTCAGAAAATTATAAAAGCGCAGTTTCTTTTCCTAACTCAATCGATATGAAATCTCACTACTGCACTGTTGAATTTCACAGATTAGTATTCTGAATTATACTAATTATCTGTGTAGTAATGATGGATATGGGCTAGCAGTGAAATCCAGAATGCGCATTTTGTCCTATCTGAGACTCACTAGTCAGCTGGGTGTACTTGCCTCCTAGTGAGTGTTGTTCCCATCGCAATTCAGATTCTAGGGCGATCGCTTTAAACGGTAGAGCGTTATCCACTACACCACCGAGTCACGATAACCACTTCTCATGCGACGAGTATAGTTTTAGTATAATTTAGTATAATAATGGAGACCGATCAACTCGGTCAAGTCAACGATGGTATAATACAAGCAATTATGCTACACTAACTATTGTTTAGTTCAGTTTTCAAATTCATAGGGTGGCCAACATGTTAACCTGTTTAAAATCAAGAAGAAAAAAGCATAAATAATCTGAACCAAATGAACATTGGTTTCATGAAAGATTTTAGCTACTTTGAGCTAAAAGGATTTACATCCTCATGAAAATTGAAGAGAAGAAAGCATACATTCAAGACTACCTGACAAATAATTCCACCTTGATCTCATAACAATGAATAATTTTGAACTATTTTTTGAAAGTCTATCTATTTTTTTATATTGACAAAAAAAAATGTTTTTTTTCGTCATTAGATCATTTCTCTAAATTTGATTGTCCTCCTGGTAAAAAATCTGTTTATGAAAAAGTTAATCTAACAAAATTCGAGTCAATTAACTTGGCAGCAAACATTTCTCAAACTGCCGATGAGGTAAGTTTTTAAATGATGGTCACCATTAAAACGATGCTGGTATGAATTATTTTTTCTATTGGAGATATATAATAATGTTTTTCTGTCGTCATGCTATTTATATTATTATTTGTCCCTCGGGGTTCCGAATGGAGCGTAGGGCTTCAGTAGCACGTCTCCATTCCACTCTCTTCTCTGCAATCTTTCAAACCTGTAGCCACGACTGCTCACAAGCACTCATTTCTTCCTCACACAATCTCCTCCATATCACTCTCATCTCAAGCGCCCAACTCGTCACTTCCCATCTGCGTTCCACTCGAGCAACTGGCCTGATACGTCATGTCCCCACTCGGTCCTCTTAGTGCATGCCCAATCCATCTCCAATCCCTTCAAGTACACATTTGTTGAGCTATAGGTTGTTGGTTGGTTCGTTGCCAGGACAGAGTTCCCCGTTGCTTATTCTTTCTGTCCATCTGATCTTCAGTAACGTGCCAGCGTAAGGAGTTGTTGATGTAGTTTATTGGAAATGCTTTTCTTAACACGCCAAGTCTCTGAGCCATACAGAAGAACTGATTTGATGTTGATGCTGAAAATCCGGATCTTGTTCCACACGCTGAGTGCGTCATTATGCTACGACACTGCTTACTTAATGATGGAATGCAGTGTTAGTCAACGGTGAATTAACCGTAGTTAGGTAACACTACTTATCAATTCCTTACCGGATATGATATATCGAACATGCACATACTTTAATGTATAGAAGTAAGAGAATCAGGAATCTGATGCAATTATTGATAACATGTAGTAGTTTACAATAGATTTGAAAGACATATTCAATAATAGTATCGTATAAGTCAATTCAAGAGTTTTGTTTCGACTCCTCACTTACAACTTATGGTTATGAAATTATTGTATATGAAATGAATCTCACCGGTGTGCATTATCCTATTTTCTATGGACTAAGTCAATTCTTTGATCTTTATGAATTATCATGAGTTATTAGCATTTAATTCAATTTTTACAATGTTCGACTTATTTGAAAACACAAAGTAATTCAGGGTAGAATAGATCGACATTAGGTCATCCAAACGGAATGTTCCAGGATGATTGTTAAGTTAGTAAGGGACCGCGTAATCAAGTGTGTATAAGGAAAATATACGGAAGGTTAATGTGATGACCAACCGGTCAAAAACAGTTGAACTAATTTTAATCAATAATCAGAGTAAAGAACTGTAGGATATTCAATGGAAGATTGGAGCTAACATGTTAAGATATAAGAAAAGTAAACTTCAGAGTAAAAATAAAAAGTAATGGTAATAAGTCAGTATTATTATATCATTTGTCCCTTGGGTTGCCAGCGGAACACTGGACTTCAGCTTTCATTTCTTCCTCACACGATCTGCTCCATGTCACCCTTACCTCGGACGCCAAACTCGTCGTTTCCTATTTCGGGCCTGGCCTGACGCCTGATGTCTCCAGTCGGCCCTCTCAGTGTATGCTCAATCCATCTCCACTTTGTTCTTCTGCAGATTTCTTGAGCAATAGGTTGTTAGTTGGTTCACTGCCAGTCCAGAGTTCCTTGTTGCTTATTTTTATTCTGTCTGGCCATCTGGCCTTCAGTATCGAGCCAGTGTAGGCAGCTGTTGATGAATATCTGTAGTTTGTTGGAAATGCACCAGTCAGTATAAGATTAATACTGAAGCGATAAAGAAACTCAAGTAAGGAGTATGATTACGACAAAATGAGAGAATAGAAGTGTTCCTTCTCTACTTAGAGCCTAGGCTTTGTTTACTGGATAGCTAACTCCTCTGCTACAAATATGTAATGAAGAATTCACTTTCCTTTCTAACCTTTTTTCTTGGCTTTGTATAGGATTTTTAAAGAAGATTATAGAAAAACGACATGACTGGAGTTTACGAAATGATTCAAGATGGAACTGTGGCTTGACCTGATGTCTCCTCTGGGCACCCACCCAGGATGGTGCTCGGGTGTGTGTTTAGAAAGATTATACTTTGTGCAGCTTACATAACCAGCCCCACTGGGGAAGGTAAAGAGATAGACGCACATGTTAGAAGAAGCCCTTTTGATGACCTCATGGCCATTCCATCATTTTGTCAATGAAATTCGTTTGTGAACTTGAATTGTACATAAAAGGTGGATCGTGGAAGTAATTTCCATAGATAGTGAACTAGAATACTGAAATTCTAGATTAGTAATTTCGACTTAGCTTAACAGGGAACAAAACGTTTCTGTAGTTGGAACATTTGTGAAGAGAGAGATGGCATCCAAAGGTGAAATTCGTTTCCCACAGACATAAAGGCTACTCATTGCGCCAAAAAGTCAAATGAATCAACCAAGATATATCTTCAAATCCGGTTTCAAGTTGGTTGGAGAATTCCATCCAGCCACCTTGCAGTCGTATGATATAGAGAATTACTCATATCCAAAATTGGACGAAGATGAATATCGCTTTTGTATAACTCTCATAAGCCATAGAGTTTTGGGATTACACTTGCTGTGAGTGCAAAATTGATTAGCCGTCAGTCCCTTACTTTTGTTTTACAGTGGGTGAAAAAGAAAAGACTACTAGTTAAAGAAGGGGTTGCAAATATCTGATCTCGAGTTCAGCTAGACAGGTGACTCGAAGGCGTGCGAGTAAGAATGAAGTTAAACGCCACCATAATAACTACTGGTATCACCAGTAAGGTTTCTTTATTTTACAAGACACTACTTTGGCAGCCAAAAGAGCGAGATATCTCACTGAGTACGTCACCTTTAAATTGTACTCGAATGTGTATTGGTTTTCTGCTATCTCTGGTAACATCCCTTATTGCTATTTTGGAAATCATATATTTCACAAAGTACACAGATACATTCAGAACACTTTTAATGTTGGTAAATTACAAATTTCGTTTTCCACACGCCCACAGATGATATCGAGACTGAGATGTGAAGCGCCTAGACTGGCCACTTCCTGTTGTAGTCATCAGTTTAACTGTTCCTATGTCGTCAGTTATGTTGATCGTTGCTCTAGGAGTTAAATTTTTCTTACTCGTGAAGGCATGGTTAAGTAAAAGTGTAATAAAGGCTGTTACCAGCTCCTTGTGTCGTTCTCCATTCTATACTGCGTTTCCATCAACTTGTCTAAAGGTATCCGTCTCAGAATCCTTCAAATTGCAGATGCAGTAGCAATTGCAATCAAATAACTTGAGTTGTGCGTCCAAAAAAATCAAGTGTTACCTCTTTAATTACTGTGGCCCGATTCCGAAAGCACAAATTCCTTAATATCCTGTTCCAGATAAACTAAATCCATACTGTAGATACCCGTTCTTCCCTACAATCTGAAACAATTTTAACAAATTTTCTTGACCCTTTTGTTCTCTCTTAATTTGTTTCATCCATTTGTCATAAACGTCTTCCTATTGTCTTATTCATTTATAACCGTACAGTATTACATAAGTCGTATAACTATTTAGATAATCAGTAATTTTAAATTGAATCCCAGTAACAAATGATTCTATCATAAAAGTTCACACACAACTTTTCCTCACTGACTTCCTGAACTGTATTAACAAACTGATAGGAGGAATCTCTGTATTGCTGACGCGCAATTCCTCAATATGTATATATAACAGTAGGACCTGAGGAGGAAGTTAACGAAAAGAATGTTCTTTATTCACTCAACGTACTCCCATTTATAATTCTCTGCTGTCTGCAAAATGTTACCGATTTATGATGTAGGTTGTCTAAATTAGTTAAAAATGGGAAGTAATTAACCATTCCATGCCTGACTTACATTGGATCGAATATGCTATCAAAACAGTTCAGAGGTGCGAAATCTTTCTCAGTTATTCATGTGTATATTAGTTCAGAAACTGATAAGTGAGATATTTAGTTTCTATTAAGTGGTGGTCAGTTCGTGCAGATAAACCAGTAATTACATGCACGGTTAGATCCTGTCCATTTACTGTAATAAATAATATTTATTTGTTATTAAGATAGATAATTATTAGCAGTTGAGTGCGGGATATGCGTCTCATCCTATCTGAGATTCGTCAGCTGTATGCGTCTGCATCTGAGTTGCTGTGTTCCCACTGAAATTGAAACTCAACACCCATCACTCCAAACACTAGACAGCTATCCATCAGGTCAGTGAATTACAATAGCTACTCCTAGTGTAATACGTATAGTCTGATATCAAAATATGGTATTACCTTTTGTTACTATGAAAAATCATCAATACCCAGAAGCATAGAAGATTTGGATCCCGCCGATGATGATGTATGTCTAATGTCTTATGTCGCACAAACTCAAAGATCCACAGACGAAAACTAACAAGTTGGCAGAAGAGGCAGGGTAGTGAAGACGGCACTTCCTTCAGGGGAACGTTTAGAAGGCAGAGGTGATAAAGGCACCCAACCAACAACAAAAACAAGCACCAATCACCATGAACGGGAGAAATCTAAACGAAATTGTCTCTTTCACCTACACACATGCCTAAGCAACATTGTTTCTACTACAGGCGGCAGGACAGATGATGATATCAAAGCCGGTATCAGAAAAGCAATACAGAGCTTCATCAACCTGAAATCAATGTGAAAATCTACTGTACTCAGCAAAAAAAACGACATCCGGATTTTCAACACTAAATCAGTCAAGTCAGTGCTTCCATATGATGGTTGAGAGATTTGACGCCTTACAAAAAGCATTCCCAACAAACTCAAGAAATACATGAACAGCTGCCACCTACGCTTACTCGATACTAAAAATCAGATTAGAAGGCCATAAAGAACAACAACAAGAAACACCGGCAAAGAATCAACGAAGCAAAAAGCTATCGCCCAACAAATATGCAAAAGGAAGTGGGGATGGATTGGATTGGACATACATTGAAAAGATCATTTGAGACATCATGCACCGGGCCAGGCCATCGAGTGAAAGCGAAATGGGAAAGAACGAGCTGGGCATCTGAGCTAGGGCTTATATGGAAGAGATGATGTGAGGAAGAAACGAATGCTGCTGAGCAGTTGTTGAGCCAGGTTGAGAAGACTGGAGAGAAGAGAGTGAAATAGCGATGTGCTACTGAATCCCTATTTTCCACTAGGAACCCAGGGGACAAATATAATAATATTGTAATACACATCACTGTTATGAAATAAGTTTTAAGTAAAATATCTTTTCTCACCCATGATATTCCTGACTGTCGTCGACTGAATCATGCAACAAACAGTGAGGAGTGAGAATAGGGGGGTACGCTGAACCTCGGAAAAGAACCCAGAAGATTTAGATTTCGCCGATGATTTGTGTCTAATGTCATACAAACTTGAAGATCTGTAGGCGAAAACTAACAGGTTGGCAGAACAGGCAAGGTAACGAAGACGGGACTTCCTTCAAATGAACGTAGAGAAGACAGAGGTGATGAAGATACCACCCAACCAACAGCATCACAAACAACAACAACAAGCTCCAATCACCATCAACAGGAGAAACTTAAAGGAAGTAACCTCTTTCACTTATCTAGGCGGCGCTGTTTCAACTACAGGCGGCACAGGCATAAACGAGGACGTCAAAACCAGGATGGGAAACACAGTAAGACAGACGTTCATCAACCTGAAACCAGTGTGGAGGTCGGATGCACTCAGCACAAACAGCAAGATCCAGATTTCCAACACCAATGTCAAATCAGTGCTTCTATTTGATGGTTCAGAGACTTAACGCGTTAGGAAAAGCATTTCCAACAAACTACACATATTTATCAACAACTGCCTATGCTGGCTCCTTACTGAATATCAGGTGGACAGAAAGAATAAGCAACAAGGAACTGTAGAAAAGAAACAAACAAGAGCCTATCGCTGAACAAATCTGCAGAAGGAAGTAGAGATGGAGTGAGCATGTAGTGCAATGTGTTCTCGCTCTTTTTACAGAGATTGCACGCAACTAATTTTGTGAGTAGTTTGGTTACTGGTGCTGTAGTTGAGGATTTGATCGGTATGTGTTGGCTTCCTGTACACTTCGGTTTCCAGGTTCTCGACATTTGTCCTGCTGATTATAACATTCAATAAGGTTAGTTGGTTATTTGACTTCTTCTCCATTGGTTCGTTTTTAATGGAAGTTTATAAAAACAAACGAACTAATGATATTCTCACTATAAATTTATTTATTGTCTATTTTTTATGTAATCTTTATATATATATTTTTGTTTGCTATGTAAAAGCTTCGAAGACTTCAGCATCATATGCATTTCATCGAGACGTATTTAAGATGGCTATGGCTTGAAGTTAGTTACCTTAAATTAAATGTAGCGAATGATATTTGCTTGCTAAATGAGAGGTGAATGGTTGGATAGCGTTTACTGTACTTTGCTGAAGTGCATGGAAAGAATCCGTATTTGTTATCATAAAGTTTACTATATCGTCCGTATATATATTGCATTAGAAGTGGTTGCATCAATCTGTTTCCACAGTTTATTTGTGTGTGTGCGACAACTACCATAAGTTTTACTGACATTCACTTGACCAGGTACATCCATACATTAGTCAGCGACAGTCATATAGAACTAATGATATTCAAATAGAAAGGTGTATCCTTCCAGTGATCAATCAATGTATGTAATACAGACGTATGGGAGATCAGTTACCCTCTGAACAGCTCACAGGTAGCATCCCCGGCTGAGGTACTGCCTAACGTGTTTTCGAATTCCTAGGAGGACATCAGCTCCCTCCAGAAAGTAGACACGCCTTCCTGAAAAGTATCGAAAAGAACGAAGCCTAAGTCGAGCAGGGCTTTCTGCCAATTACCTTGAACTATCTAATATCAATCGAAATGTATCACGATGTTCAGTCATCTACGCTGATGACCTCATTAAAAAATGACTGACTACATTAGACACATGAAGTTCGTTAGTCTCCAGTAGTCGATCAATGCGGTAAACTATAGATTGATTCTAAAATGGAGACTGCTAAATCCTAGTTGAAGAGATGTAATAAAGGCCCCGAAAGTTCAGAATGAAATCTTGGGGATTATTAAAAACTCTACTGCATGTGACATTATTACAGTGACAATAATAATGATAGCCATCAACTATGGTGCTTCCATGAGTAAACTTGTTTGATCACTACAGGGAAGGGTGACAGCGGATTATGATGACCAAGCTACTTGTATATAATGTACTTTCAAATTAGGAGTTCACTTTCAAGTGACTTTAAACCCCACAAAAGTAACAACCAAAATAACCAATTAGGTTAGGCTACGAAGGTAGGTTGTACAATAAATACAGAACACTAATCGGTTATTCAATTGCCGCCAAGGTGGTCTTTAAAGATGTTCGATGGGAAGAAGTGAAGATGATTTATAAAAAAGATTTCCGAATTTATAATATGTTAAATTTTTTAGAGAGGCTACTAATGTTTCTCCTTCATAAAAACGAGCTGACACAATTCCGAATTAGTACAAACATGACAGATAAGAATAGCATGTTCAACATTTCCACTGGCTAATAATTAGATGAGGATGTCAAAACCAGGATCCGAAAAGTAAGATACGCCTTCATTTATCTGAAATCATGTGAAGGTCTACTGCAATCAGCATAAAGCGTGAACAAGAGCCAGATTTTCAATACCGATTCAATCAAATCAGTCCTACTATATGATTCAGAAACTTGAAATATCACGAAAAGTATTTCCAACAAACTACAGACATTCATCAACAACTGCCATATACGCTCACTCCAGACTGAAGATCAAATGGCCAGAATAGTGAGAATTAACAACAAGGAACCTTGGGAACGAACCAACCAAGAACCTGTCGTCAAATGAAAATGCTGAAGAAGAGAGTGGAGATGGACTGGGAGTGTACTGAGAAAACCATTCGGAGACATCACTGACCAGGCCACACCGTCGAGTGGAAATCAAAGGGGAAGTGACGAGTTTGTCTTCCGAGCTAAGGGTGACATGGAGGAGATCGTGTGAAGAGAAAATGAAAGTCTGTGGCAGCGTGGCGCCAGGTTGGAAAGACTGGAGAGAACAGAAAGCAATGGATGCGTGCTATTGAATCCCTACGTTCCACTAGGAACCCAAGAGAATAATAATAATAATGAGATGATAAAGAATATTTGTAGTTGGGAGGGATTTTGCTGGTGTTATCATATCTGAGCTGTATGATTTAATCCAGAAGTTGCCATCCACATTCTGAATCACAACGCCAGTACAAACATGCTAGAGAAGTCAGTTTATAAGTAGTATTTTGAAGGAGCTGAGCTGATTTGAGTAAATCTGCACGTACAACGGAACTTCTCTTATTTGCTTGTCTGACAAATAGGTAACTTTATAACTGCTTACAATTAAGCTGTCTGCTACGAAACACTATTAGCTTTTGTTGTTGTCTTGTCTGAAAAAGTGACAGCTTTGCACGTTGAATATCTAATTCTTTTCAACTACCAATTTTATTCCTTTTTTTCAGCACGGTGATTTTCTGGTACAAAAAGAAGATTACCCCCACACTACTGCACGCAGTGGATCATTTGATCGTTATGCAGCTTCTGTTAGGTAAACGTCAGCACCACTTAAAATTCTCAGCATTCTATAACGCTATAATTCATTTTCATATATTCCGTGTTGTGTTATTATTATTATTATTATTATTTGTCCTTTAGGTTCCTAGGGGAACATAGGGATTCAATAGCACGCATCCATTGCTTTCTGTTCTCTCCAGTCTTTCCAACCTGGCTCCACCGCTGCCCACAGACTTTCATTTTCTCTTCACACGATCTCCTCTATGTCACCCTTAGCTGGGACGACAAACTCGTCGTTTCCCATTCGGGTTCCACTCGACTGCCTGGGCTGGCACGTTATGTCCCCAAACCGTCTTCTCAGTTTATGTCCAATCCAATCCAACCCATCTCCACTCTCCTCTTCCGCATATTTATTGGGCGATGGGTTGTTGGTTGATTCGTTACCAGCCAGGGTTGGATGTTCCTTATTCTTTCTGGCCATCTGGTGTGATATTCATTATGGAGTAAGCGTTGGCGGCGGCTGTTGATTTATGTCAGCAGTTTGTTGGAAATCCTTTTCCTAAGGCACCAAATCTCTAAACCGTCACATTAAAGCTTTGACTTGACTGACTTAGTGTTGAGAGTCTGGATCTTGTTCACGCTCTATGTTGAGTGCAGTAGATCTCCATATTGATTTCAGACTAATGAAGACCTGTTTTGCTGTCCTTTTGATCCTGACTTTGCCATCCTCATCTGTGCTGCGCCGCCGCAGTGTGTATTAGAAACGATGCTGCCAAGGTATGTAGGTAGGTGAAAGAGACAACTTCGTTTAGATTTCTTTCGCTGATAGTGATTTGTGCTTGTTGTTACTGCTGCTGCTGGGCCTCTTTGTCACCTTTGTACTTACTACGTTCACCTGAAGAAAGTTCTGTCTTCGCTGCCTCGCCTCTTCTGTTAAGTTGTTAGTTTCCGCCTGTATATCTTCGAGTTTGTACGACATTAAATATAAATAATCATTGGTGAAACCTAAATCTTAGAATCTTTTCGTCGGTCAAACAGCGTATGCCTGTCTTCTCAAACCTCAAAGTTTCTTACATGATCCAGTCCAGTCCAGTCAACCATAATCATGATCATTGATTACAGCAGGCGGTAACCTTGTCTTACTCCTGCCTTTACTTCGAAGGCATCACTGAGCTATCCATTGTGAATCACTTGGCATGTAACGTCACACAGCATATGGCCGCTGAATGAGGTTGATGGAGATTTGTGGCACTTCGTAGTGCTGTATCATGTAGCTTAACAGATGTAGCTTCGTCAGTGCCGCGAACATAGGAGAAACATTCTTAGTCGATAGACAAACACTTCATGTAGTAATTACAGTCTTTCTGGCAGTCAGTAATCATCCAAATACCTTAATGGTAACACCTGAAACTCTAGGACTCAGTAATTTGGATTTTAATCTCTGAAAGAAAATAAACTTCCATATGAGGACAGATAAGCCTTACTGAATTATATTGAGAAGCATGAGATCAAGGGATTCCTGATGACTTGCATAATACCGAAGACTGAACGTTGTAAACATTGTAATGTATAAATTAACTTGATGGCCACAGAACGAACTTGACTTCACTTATAAACCAGTAACGAAATCATCTAAACGTGCATCCCTCAATTATCAAATACTTTACGTTTTACGGAATACTACTTACAAGTCATAAGTGGACCATCCTGTTTTTAGCATAATGAGATGACCGAATACCAGATTTTTTAGCAAGAAACCTACTTTCAAAATTGTCACCTACCTCATATTTTAATGAAATAAATGAAAACCTTGGTCATAGTGAGATTAGAACCATACCCTCCAAACCGGATGCCGGCAACCCACCGACCGAGCTACGAGACCCGAATGATGACCAGGAGTTAACTTTACTGAGCTGGTGAAGCATCAAGTCAGTAATCCAGAGGTTGAGGTACTGTGACAATCTAGGTCCTTACTTGTCGCTATGTTTCAATAATACCAGTCTGACAAACCACAGGTGTCTCAGACAGTCGTACCAACAATTACTGGTAAATCCCTTAAAAGTGAATTTTCCGAAGCTATTAAGAGATGACACAACCATTCTGGTTTGTCAGGTTGACGGTGACAACATATATATTCAATTAAAATATTTAATGATGATTACACTATGTGATAAACTGACAGAGGTTTGCATGTGCTGAGTTGGTGGTCTGAACTCAGTAACTAAACAACATTGTGTAACTAAGACGTGGGATTACCGTACATTGCATTCTTTTGGTTTCACTAGTGAGTACTTCTAAGAAATCCTAGGCAAGAACAGTGCACCCATTTGGTACTCCATTACCTCTTACAGTTATCCAGGTAATGACAGGCCTAGATTTGGACCCGCTTTATTCAAATTTTGAAGTAGACTGTGAAACTTTTTATCATCTATAATTTATGGAAATATTGAATAAATTATAGTGTCGAAAGCATAATACTACAGTTGCATTATAAAATTTCAGACTGTCTATATGGGTAATTAAGGGTTAGTTCCTTGAAGGCGATTGGCAGGAAGTCCTCTTCAATTTAAGTTTCGTACATGATGACACTCGTCAATATGGTGTATCTGAATCCTGGAGGGAATTGATGACTCCTAGGAGTTCAAATCGAAGACATTACTACTGAGCTCCTCAGACTGTGAGTTGCCTCGTGTAGGACTGCATTATATACACTGATTGGTTACTAAAGAATAGCGCAATGCGGTCAACACCTATAACTAGATGAAATGAAATTGGTGAGCCTCCAGTAACTGACTAACCAATGTAGCCGAGTACATAGGTTTCTAGACAGCAGTTAAAAGCAACTTACTTGTAGTGCACAGCAGTGGACTTCTGGACCCTCATTCCATCCTTATAAGGACTTATTAACTGGATGTACCTGCACCTTAGTGTGTTGTTGTTCACACACAACTTCAAACTTAGAACCTACAGCCTCAAATACCAGAGAAATTTCCATTAGACTACTAAGTCACGAGTGTCAGTTCATGGGTAACAGCTATAAGCTGTTAACACACCTAAATTTTGATACTAGATGGTGACTGAAGATAAAATGGAAATTTGGACAGCGGCTGAGTTCAGATCGGCAACCACCGGGTTTCCGGCCCACTGCTCTACCTTCCTCCTGATGTCATAGACCTTGTTTTATTTAGTGAAGTTGGTTTGTTTGAAGAGTGAATACATAAAAGAAATAATCGAAGTGAATGCAGTTTAGTAAAAGTTTATTTGATTAAGTTGTACCAGCAAATGAATTCTAATATCTATCTTCGTAAACTGCTTTCATTGTCATCTAAAATAATGTGTATCTACAAGGTATGATTCAGCAAACTGTATAAGTTTCGTAAAGTGGTTTGAAGTAGTCGCTATAGTGGAACAATAATTTACACGAAATGGTTATTGGTTTATGGTTGATGTAGCTGTCGAGACCTAAACATTGGTTAAGTGAAGGCGATCGGTAGGAGGTTCTGTCTTACCTAGGTTTCATGATTGTTGGTTCCCGTCAGTAAGGAGTATCTGCTACTTCGAGGGATCGTGTGTCTACTGTAGGGTTTAAATCCAACTCAGCAATCAGAACCATACAACATTAATCTGGATATTCTCCAGTAATAAATCAGTGAGTTCGAAATACTCAACCAATGCTGAAACTAGTCTCTAAAGTTTGCAAATCAACCACCAAGAGATAGCAGAAAGCGAGGGAGAGGTTGCTTTACACTAATGAGCCAACTAGTTGAAGGGAAGAAGGAAGAATAGGTAGTACAAGCATCTATCACTGTAATTCTAACATAGATTAGTGCAGTACAGAATAGTTTAAACCATTCATCTTCTTTCATTCCTGTATTCGTAAACTCATAAGTACACAGAACCGTAGTTTGAGACAGTTTATTGACAGATTTCTGACGAATAAAAACATCAAAAGATGAAAAATCACATTCACTGATCTTGAGGTATTCCCAGTTAGGATTGAAACAGTTAAGTTTCTAAACTTTTAGTTTGAAGATTGAAAATAGGCCTCAGATTTACACCTACCAATTTTTTCAGTTTCATGTAGCTGAGTAAACAATGTTAGGCTGTACACAAATTTGTCCCTAGATTTAATTTTGCCTATTTCTTTGCAAAAGTGTAAGACGACTACATAAGGAATACAGATGAGTATCTCATTGGTGATATACAAAAGGCCTTGAGACATACTTATCCTAGGAAAAGGTTTGAATGTGTCTGTGAGAACCTCACTGGTAGTGACGCATCAGTTTATATCTTCAGTGAATATTTCAAACAACGAAAGATTCCAATAACATTAATAAAAAGTAACACTCTATTACTACTATTATTATTATTTGTCCCTTCGGTTCCTAGTGGAACACAAGGTTTCAGTAGCACATCTCCATTCCACTCTCTTCTCTGCAATCTTTTGAACCTAGCGCCACAGCTGCCCACAGACTTTCATTTTCTTCTCACACGATCTCCTCCATGTCACCCTTAGCTCGGAAGACAAACTCGTCACTTCCCCTTTGATTTCCACTCAACGGTGTGGCCTGGTCAGTGATGTCTCCGAATGGTTTTCTCAGTACACTCCCAGTTCATCTCCACTTTCTTCTTCAGCATTTTTGTTTGACGACAGGTTCTTGGTTGGTTCGTTCCCAAGGTTCCTTGTTGCTAATTCTCACTATTCTGGCCATTTGATCTTCAGTCTGGAGTGAGCGTATGTGGCAGTTGTTGATGAATGTCTGTAGTTTGTTGGAAATATTTTTCGTGATATTTCAAGTTTCTGAATCATATAGTAGGACTGACTTGACTGAATTGGTGTTTGTGCTGAGTGAAGTGAAGTAGATCTGCACACTGATTTCAGATAAATGAAGGCGTATCTTACTTTTCCGATCCTGGTTTTGACATCCTTATCTGTGCCAGCTGTAGTTGAAACGATGCTGCCTAGGTATGTATGTAGGTGAAAGAGGTTACTTCCTTTAAGTTTCTCCCGTTTATTGAGAAAGTAGCAACCTGAAAGTAGAATATTCTCTTTTTTAAATCTCATCAGGTTCTACAAGGCCTATTTAAACATCTACAGTTGTAGACAGTCAAATTATGCATAGAAAATGGATCTAATATCGAAAGACAAAAGTGAATTTCGGAAACTGGAGTCAACGAAATATCTAACCGAAAAAGTAGAAAAGGACTTAATCGTCTAACTGAAGAAATTGAAAAATGGTGGATACATTTCATTAGTCTTATATATAGGCAGCATGTTTCCACAGATATATAGCCTGACAAAATACACAAACCTTAGGTGCCTCCCCCCCCCCTATTCTAGATATGACCAACTCGACTTACCACGATATCGCCAAATGACTTGTACCATTACTTCAACGTTTGCGTGATCAGATAGCATAATATGACTTGGAAGACACCTTCCAGATTGAAAACAAAGTGGAATGTTTTGAACAAATGCACTGGACGTCTTCGTGTCACATCTTCGTTTACTAATGTCCTCCTAACGGAAACTATGAATTACATTTGTGAAAAACCATTACAGGGAAAATTAGACACTGGCATTCTAACTATAAATTTGAAAAAAACTATTGCTAAAATGTACGGTGAACGTCCAATCCATCATCGATAGTAATCTATTAGGATAAGTTAATGAAGTGGCTATGGGATCCCCACTGGTCCCAATATTCGCAGACAAATATATTTCTGGTGAAATCGGAGAATGGCTTTTTGAAAGATTAAAATGTCAAAACAGAGGTGTATTGTCGACATATGGATGATACATTTTTTGTCTTTGACAAATCCTAATGTATTAACTCGATTCTGAACCATTTCAACAGCGCTCATCCATCAGTTCATTCTATATGTGAAAATGAAATCAATGATTCGATACATTTTCTAGATGTTCTAATCACCAAAAAAGAGGATGGTTGTATAGTGAGAAGTATATATCGAAAACCGATGTCTACGGCACAGTATACACAATTTCTCAGTTCCGTAATCAGGTGCCTTGCATTCACGGTAAGATTGTTTTCAGGTTGAAATCCATCATGAACTGAAATTATTTGGAGAAACATTGGAAACCTGGAAGCACTGGACAGTTGTTTCTTCCTAGTATGGGAACCCCCAGCAGTGAACACCCATGACCCCACCAAGGATTAGACCAAGAACCTCCAGGTTACCATTCAGCTAGGGTGTCGGAATCCAATGACCCATATTTCCTAATTCTGTCAGTTCACAGTATAGCGTTACCTTCATCCAATGTCGTCGTTGAATCCTATTCTAGAAGGAAACAGTTGTCCAACGCTCCTAGATTTTCAATGGATTCTTAACTGATGTCAGTTCATGATGACTTCTAACCTGAAATCAAATAATAAATCTCCATAGACCTCTAGATTAAGATCGATTTGTTCGAAGAAATATTTAAGAAATCAACTACTGTATATGCGTGATATTTTCTGCAGAAACGAATATGTTGAGAAGTGCATGAAAGCTAACATAGCTAATGGTAATCCAAAATGGGAATTAATGACAATGGAGAAGTTTTTGTGTCTTCGACTACAATTCAGATGAGAGGCTCCAGCTGACATCCTACCATAACGTCTACCCAGGGCATTCAGCTTTGTGCAAGTCATTTCAGCACATCTTCCAGTAGTCAACTGATGCTCAATCCAAAACTAAGGTGTAGCCAAACCAATTTTGTCTCTGAAATGGTTGAGAATATTTGTGGCTGGGGTGGATGGTTAGACTGCATTGTGTTCTTTGAGCTGCGTTGTTCGGTTGTGTAGCTTTCATCATCTTTCTAGACAACATCATCAACACTAACTCCACTATGAAGTCAGCCGTCAATATCTCTCCATCACTGATTAAGTAGCTCCTCTGATCAACTACTTCTTGATTGGTTGTTTCCTTTGATTGTTCCCTCACTGACTGAAGGCACAGATCTTCCTGTTGATACTTCCTCTCCTTGACCTATCACCTTTCTGTCATTTATCATTCCACTCACTGGTTGGTAGGTTGGGTCTATGTCTGTCTATACATTTATCTATGGCTTGTTGACTGACTAATTGACTGACTGGCTGATGTGAATGCCAAGCTTCTAGGAATTCTCTGATAACATTCTTTGTGTTTCCTCTCTCCTTCCCACATTTCTACACTATCAAAATCGAATTCATCTCCATAGTCGTTATCCACGTGTATTGAAATGAGTGATGAAATGTTGTGTTGTGATTTTTAATAGCCAATTTGTGTTCATGTGGACGAAAGTGAAGGTGGGCGACCACTTTATCCAATGTAGTATTGACTACAGTTATTGAAGTTGATTCTGTGAATGATGCTCGATTTGCCTTCTTTGATCGTTGCATCTTTTGGTCTGTATAATAGTGTTTGTAGGGAATTTGTTGGTTCATGAATGGTCACACGAATTCCACCAAGGGGTTTCAGTAATCTTGTCGTGATTTCTGATACATTCTTTATGTCTGGTAGGATGATACATTTGTTGATTTCTGCCGGATGACTTTGTAGTTGATGATGTATGGGGTAGGTGTCTTGTGAAAATGTTTTGTGAGTAGCCGTTCTTCTTTAGGATAAACATCAAGTAATATTCTTCGTTTCTCGGTGAAGTTGTTGTACTGAAGTGTGTTCTTGCTCTTTTGGATAGAGTTTCCACGTGACTAATTTTGTGAGTTTTTGGTTTGTTGGTGAAGATGTTGTTGATGATTTGATCAGTGTATGCTGGCTTGCTGTACACTTTGGTTTCCAACATAACCTTGTCTCTTCACCTTGCACGAATCTATTTGTCTGTTCCTTTGGAACAAGTTACATAGGGTGTACGATTAAACAATTGATTCTCAGGATACTATAGCATTTACTGGATTGGGTCAAAAAAGGTATGGTGAAAGTGGTGAAAAACTCCGTCCTAGCCCACCTGGTAGGCACAGAGCATCAAATAGATGTTTGTAAAGCTTTCAATGTCACTTATGTCGTTGCAAAAACAATACCATGTGTAGTTTTTCAACGCCAGATCATTAAAGCGGAGGATACCTCAATAAGGTTGATCGAACATGAATTATGCATTCAGAAAGAACATTTTCCAACTTCATTCCTTCCTTGATCTTCAGTAAGCTAAAAGCCATTCATTTGGGAATATATTATTCCAGTACCGAAAAATTTAAAAAAAAAGGAAAACCGATTCTCTTACAGTTCTTTAGTGTCACTCCATTTTGAAATAGTATCTGCCTTTAACTTAATTTGATTTCACGCGGTACAAATGCATTTTATAACTATAGAATGTGACGAAAGAATTTACTGAAAATAATATTCCTTGGTCAGATTATTGCTGAAGTGAATATCTAAGTTTTCGCAAAACAATAAACAAACTTTATTAGACTGCATCAACAGTTAGAAAATCTAGGCATATGATTTTCTGAAAAGATTGAAACTTTACAGGAACTGGATTGAAATACTCTCAGAAACTACATAAGTATTCATGTAGCAGGCTATGAGTCACATCTATTCCGTGGATATTAATGATACTACCTTGCTGACTAGATCTTTGTTGGTGGAGTGAGATTTGTGACAATTACCTATCTATTAGAAATTGAGTGTAGAGACCAATAACCCACAGCTCCTCTTACCACTTTTATCGAAAATTCACGATTATAAAGTATATTGTTGTATAAGGCAAAAATCTGTATAAATCTATAATTATTTCTCTTTCATTGATTTATAGGGCTACTGAGTTGAGCAGAAATGATCAGGTAAGATTGTTAGCTTAAAAGTTATGTTCCAGGATATTTTTTCCCCTTGTATAATGAGTATACTCATCAATTCAATACACTTAGAAGCAGTTTTTCCGGTTATTTTTGATCTCTTCTCGACACGTTCTAACTTATAATGCCTCCAGAAAATTTACTTAATTCCTTTCACTTGGATTCATTCTGTTATACAGAAGTGTTATGTTTTGATATGTTAGGAAAGCGCAATAGCTCAACCACTCAATCACCAATATCCTTAACTTGTCTTGTTTTTCATTCATTCATCGATATACTGATTAGGCTGCCTATGATTTTAAGATTTACATTTGGACCACGACAGCCTAATTTAATAGATGGATACTTAGACTGCAGCTACTTTTTATATGTCATTTCCCACCTCCTCATTCCCAAGACTTATCTCACTTGTCCTCCAATAAAAATAGACGATAAGTCACTCAAAATGACTGATTGCACGAAATCGGAAAGTACAAGAGAATAGAGCGGACTGGGTAGTGGGAATGATGGATCTACTTCAGTAAATTGTTATTTGCCAGGTGATGGCCAGCAGGGGAACTGAGGACGAACATATTGTCGTATTTGACACCCAGTCATCAGCTGGATATACTTGCCTTCTAGCGACTGAGGATGTTCCCTCTAGAACGTGAATCCAGGGTCTATCAATTCAAATGTCACAGTGTTATCCATTCCATCACTGAAACACGAGATCCACCTTTCATGCAACCAGCTTCATTTTTACTTCACTGATACTTGCAGTTTCTGGTTGGTTATTGTACTAAACTAAATTAACCAGTCAATCTTGGTAAATAATACCAAAATGAAACTTGAGGTAATAATGAGGCAAACGTGGCAGGAGCCCATTTCCCTACAGTGACTGATTAGTTCGGTCCAGTTAAATAATCAGTAATCAGTAAAACCTCGCCTGGTTAACTAGTTTACTAGTTACTAGCCGGTCCTAAGCCCGGGTAAAGAGGGAAGGTTGGGCATAGGGCTAGCAACCCTACCCCGTAAAACAAATCTAACCGCTAAAGAAACTTCAAAGCACAAACAAAATATAAAAAATGAAAACAAACTTATTCCCCGCTGGAATCGGAGAGGCGAAATGACGCCAGTTGGTGAAAGCCTTCGGGAAGCCAATTGGCCGATGTGTCTTCTCTCTCTCGATTAAAGCGAAAGTAAACGTGGGGACATGGAATGTCCGTACGATGTTTGAACCCAGTAAGGCAGCCCAGATTGCAAAGGAGATGAGAAGGTATCACATCGAAGTGCTTAAGATTTGCGAAAGCAGATGGAATGGGAGTGGACTCTGCAAACTGTCAACTGGAGAATCAATAATCTACTCCGATATTGACACCCAGACGACAACCACGAGCACACTGAGTTATGGAGTGGCTATCATGATGTCCCCAACAGCATCGAAGGCTCTCATGCAATGGGAACCAATCTCCTCCAGGATCATGACAGCAAGGTCCAACTCAAAAGGAAGAAAGGTCACAATCATACAATGTTATGCACCTACAAATAATGCAGAGCAAGAGAAAAAGGAGGATTTCTACAGACAACTTCAATCAACACTGGACAAGACGGCAGTTGGCGATATCAAAATTCTGATGGGCGACAGGAATGCCAAACTGGGAGGGGACAACACGGGAAGAGAACTAACCATGGGTCGAGAGGCACTAGGTGAAATGAATGAGAATGGAGAATTGTTTGCAGAATTCTGCGCATTCAACGATTTGGTGATTGGAGGCAGTGTGTTCAGGCACAAAGATATCCACAAAGCGACATGGATTTCACCAGATGGATACACTAAAAATCAAATCGACTTTATCTCAATCTCAAGAAAATGGAGACGCAGTCTACTTAACACAAGGTCAAGAAGAGGAGCAGATGTAGGTTCAGACCACTATCTAGTGCAAGGAACCTTCCAAATCAAGTTAAAAGCCTTCAAGGAAGCTGGTGATAGACCTCAACCCAAGTACAACACTCGGAAACTGAAGGATGAAACTACAAAGGAGATCTTCAAGGCAGCCATCAAGACAAAATGGGAGACATCGAGCAACATCCCTGAAGAAACCTGTGTGGAAGAACACTGGAAGTCTTTGAAAGCTATGTGGAAAGAAACCTGCACAACAGTATTAGGAAGGAAGAAGAAAGAAGACAAGGAATGGATCTCGATGGGTACATGGAAGCTGATAGAGGAGAGGAGGATGGTGAAGCAGAAGATAAACCAGTGCAAGGATGCTCAACGACAAGATGAACTGAGCACAATGTATAAGACACTGGACAAAGAAGTGAAGAAGAGTGCACGCAAAGACAAAAGACACTTCTACGAAACACTGGCAAGTGAAGCAGAACAGGCTGCAGGTAAGAGAGACCTGACAACATTGTATCAAATAACCAGGTTGCTATCAGGGAAGAGACCAACACAGATGAAACCAATAGAAGATGAAGAAGGAAATTTAATTACGAAAGAAGAGAAACAGAAGAAACGATGGGCCGACCACTTCAAGAAGCTCTTGAATCGACCACCACCTGCACTTCGTCCAGAAATACCACCTGCAGCCGCTGAATTACAAGTGAACATTATTCCCCAACGAAAATGGAAGTCCTGAACGCCATAAAGCTACTGAAATGCGGGAAAGCAGCAGGACCAGATGGAATACCGCCAGAAGCACTGAAACAGATGCAGAGACAACAGCGGACATGCTCACACCACTATTGCAGAAGGTGTGGAAGGAAGAGAAGGTACCTGACGATTGGAAGAAGGGTTACCTTGTCAAACTGCCGAAGAAGGGAGACCTCAGTGCTTGCAAGAACTGGCGCGGAATCACTCTCCTGTCCACCCCAAGTAAAATATTAAGCCGCATCATCCTGGAGAGGCTAAGGGATGCACTGGATTCAAAACTACGACCCGAACAGGCAGGCTTCAGGAAGTACAAATCATGTGCAGACCAAATTGCAACGCTTCGTATCATCATAGAACAGAGCATAGAATGGCAATCACCTCTCCACCTCAACTTCATCGACTTTGAGAAGGCCTTTGACAGCGTCGACCGAGAAGTAATTTGGAAACTGCTTCAATACTACGGAGTACCGCAAACCTTTATCCGCCTCATTCAACAACTATATGAAGATGCCACATGCCAAGTAATTCACAATGGGAAGCTCAGTGATGCCTTTGAAGTGAAGACAGGAGTGAAACAAGGTTGCCTACTATCCCCCATGATATTCTTGATTGTGGTGGACTGGATCATGCAGCAAACAGTAGGCAGCGAGAAGAGGGGGATACACTGGACGACGGAAAAGAACCTAGAAGACTTGGATTTCGCTGATGACTTATGCCTACTGTCACATAAACTTGAAGATCTGCAGGCAAAAACTAACAAGTTGATAGAAGAGGCAGCGAAGACGGGACTTCAGGTGAATATAGAGAAAACAGAAGTGATGAAGATACCGCACCACCACCATCAACAACAACAACAACAAACTCCAATCACTGTCAACGGGAGAAACTTAAAGGAAGTAACCTCCTTCACTTATCTAGGAAGCACTGTTTCAACTACAGGCGGGACGGACGAGGACGTCAAAGTCAGAATCGGAAAAGCAAGAGAGGCGTTCATTAGCCTGAAACCAGTGTGGAGATCTTCTGCACCCAGCATGCGGAACAAGATACGGATTTTCAACACCAACGTCAGTCAAGTCAGTGCTCTTGTATGGCTCAGAGACTTGGCGCGTCACGAAAGGTATTTCCAATAAACTACAGACATTCATCAACAACTGCTTACGCTCGCTGCTGAAGATCAGATGGCCAGAAAAAATAAGCAACAAGGAACTCTGGGAACGAACCAACCAAGAACCTATCACTCAACAAATATGCAGGAAGAAGTGGAGATGGATTGGCCATGCACTGAGAAGGCCGACGGAGGACATCACGCGTCAGGCCAGTTGCTCGAGTGGAATCCCCATGGGAAGCGACGAGTTGGACGTCCGAGGGTGACATGGAGGAGGTCGTGCGAGGAGGAAATGAGAGGTTGTGGGCTGTCGTGGAACCAGGTTCAAAAGATCTCAGAGAACAGAGGTCACTGGAGGCGTGCTACTGAAGCCCTATGTTCCACTAGGAACCCAAGGGACTAATAATAATAATAATAAATCAGCAAGTTTGACACTAGAGCTAACTGACATTTAAATAGCAACATTTTGCGTAGAAATTTCGATTCTAAAATCCAAGTGAACTATTTCGTTTCCAAGCCACAGAATAGCTTTCTTGTCTATAATTTCTAGCCACTAGATTTAAATACACAACTACTTTAAGCATCTAGTATTGACTAAAACGTCTTTTCAGTGGACTTCGTACAGTTACTATACACTGAGTAAATCAATGCTATCCTATAAGACTAATTTCCAGTCGACTGGTTTTGTCAGGCATCAGTTACACATACTTTTCTTTTCCTTAGCTTGAGACAGTTGGGTGAAGGTCTTGAAGTTAGGCTTAGTGGTTATTGGCATTGATCAACTTCACCTGTGTATTGTATACTTCTGATGGTGAATTTGAGTTGAAGCAATCACTGAAGCAAACCGATTCATTTCATCGTTGCATCTTAAGAAACTAACTCTTTGCTTTGACTGTCTCACGTAGTCGATGGAGAAATATACTTTGAAAGCTTCAGTTAACATCCCCTGTCTCAGCTTACAGTGTAATGTCTAAAAATCTGACGGTTAACATATGTATTAGGAAGTCGTTGGAAAGACGTCTTTACCAAAGGATGTCTGAATGGATTTTAAAATATTGAGCAGATACCAATAGATATTGAGATATCTCACAGTAGAAGGATGCTGGACTTCAGCGAATCTGTCCTCTAAACACAAATTGATCACGTTGTTTTTCGTCACTGTCACTTATTTCACAAATTTCGAAAAGATCCATATAGTTTTAACCATCCGAATATGTGATGCTTCACCTCCAAACACTGAGTTATTTTGGGTTTGAAAGCTAAGCTTTCTGCTTCTGTCTGGAAGCTATTAGTGTTGTAAACAGACTCATCAAGTTAGACAGTCTGTACACAAGCCTGTGCGAAATAGATTTGGTCCACAGCAAGTAATTTTAAATGTGAAATTACCCACCCCATTCCCTGCATAACTCATGTCATTTGTTATCGAATCACAATGGAAAATGAATCATTCCACATGAGTGGAAGCACAAAATCAGAAAGTACTATGGAACAGGGGAAACTGGGTGAGGGTTACTTTGTTTGCATGATGAGTGACAGTGTTCATGGAACGCTTTTGCCTTGCCACGTTTCCATTATAGGTATTTAAGAATGATGTCTTGAAGGAGGATGAGAGGCAGACGTAGACACACTACGTTGTACCAGATTCATATTTGTGAAGGGAGAGAAGAGTTTGCATCAAGCTTGTGTGTTGAAGGGATAGTGGACACCGATTATTGGATGGTGTATTGACAAGAACGTGATTTCCACTTGTTTTCAGTATCTATTCTATAGATTATCCGTGAAATGATTTTGTTCGGCATTTGTGCTCGCCAACTTTTCTGAAGGCTTCTGAATAGTAACTTGGTGGTTGTTAATTCGCAATCACCCTCGGGTTTGCCTGCATTATGACAGAAGATGTTAGGTCAGTAGATTGCTGGATATCAAGTGGAATTGGGCAACATAAGGGTATTGATAATATGTGGCGCTGTAACACTTAGTGTTGCCGATTTCGTTTACGCACACTTTGGCAGTCGTCTGAATAATCTGGATGTTTTCAATATGCTTTGGGGTCTCATCGCTAAGTGTAATTTGATGGATATGTGAATTTTCCTTAGGTGTAGTTGGTTATGAATAATTGTAGGGGCACGTAATAGATCAAGGTGGATCGGTATTCTTTTCTTTCCTTCAGGATGAGATTGAAATGTTTTTTTCGTCGTTACAACGGACTTGCTGAAATTTGCTGACAGTTGTCTTGATTTGCTGGGTCTTGACAGCACCTATAATGTCATTAATGAGGAGCTTTTTCTGTATAAGTTCGTGGCCATCAACATAATCTTACAGTAACCTTGATTCTGCATGACAGTACTTGGATACCACGCCATTGTCATTCTGTATTCGCTATCTTCTACTGATGGAATCCACAGAGAGATAAAATCAACGTAAGACCACATACACAAGTGCATTGGTTCAAACTACCACACTTAACAGTAGTATATAACAGAAAAGTGAAATGGTCACAGTTACTGGTACTGTAGATGCAAGGAACTTCTTTTACAGACAATTTTTCTAATAATCAGCTGGATTCCTTTTTTCTGCCTAATCAACTGCAACCAATCACAGTGGTTAGTTTACTTGATTGCCGTTCTCAGAGGAACCTCAATGGTCAGTTTCACATCAAGAGCACTCATAACAAATTTTCTATGATACCTAAAACAAGAACTGTCTTGAGTGCAGCGAATGTGAAAATCGCCAAGCAGATGAGTGAAAAGAAAAAAGTAACTTAGCTGATCACTAGAATATTCCTATTCTTTGTTCCTTGGGGTCCTAATGGAAAATATGCTTCACTAGCACGGCTCCATTCCACTCCGTCACATGAAATCTTATGAACCTGACTCCACCAGTGCCCACAAACTCTCATTCATTCCTCACACAATCTCCTCCATGTCACCCTCACATCAAACACACAACTCGTCACTTCCCATCTGCGTTCCACTCGAGCAACTGGCCTGACGCGTCATGTCCCCACTCGGTCTTCTTAGTGCATGCCCAATCCATCTCCACTCCCTTCAAGTACACATTTGTTGAGCCATAGGTTGTTGGCTGGTTGGTTGGTTGGTTGGTTGTCAGGTTGGAGTTCCTCATCGCTTATTCTTTCTAACCATCTGAAGTTCAGTAATGGGACGGTGTAGGGAGTTGTTGATGAATGTGTGTAGTTTGTTGGAAGTGCCTTTCGTAACACGCCGAGTTTGTGAACCACATAGAAGCACTGACTTACTTGACTGAATTAGTGTTGAAAATCGGGATGTTGTTCACGCTTTATGCTGAGTGCAGAAGATCTCCGCACTGGTTTCGGGTTACTGCAGTAAGGGCTGTCTTGCTTTACCGATTCTAGCTCTGATGTCCTCATCTGTGCCTGAGTCACCTGTAGTTGAAACGATGCTGCCAGGTTAGGTGGAAGGGACGAATTCCTTCAAGTTTCTCCCGTTGATGGTGATTGGAGTATTTTGTTGTTGTTGGTTGGGTATCATCATCACCTCTATCTTCTCTATATTCACTTGAAGTCCCGTCTTCGCTGCCCTTCACTGCCCTGCCCTACCCTACCCTACCCTCCTTCTTCTGTCAACTTGTTAGTTTTCGCCTGCACATCTTCAAGTTTGTGTGATATTAGACACAAATCATCAGCGAAATCCAAGTCTTCTAGGTTCTCTAACACTGTCCAGCCAGCGTATCTCCTCCTTCTCACGCAACACTCTTTG